TTGTTCTTAACCTTTGCTGATTCATGTGTCTTTTTTTTTTTTTTTTTTTGACAGGCAGAGTGGACAGTGAGAGAGAGAGACAGAGAGAAAGGTCCTCCTTTGCCGTTGGTTCACACTCCAATGGCCGCCGCGGCCTGCGCACTGCGGCCGGCGCACCGCGCTGATCCGATGGCAGGAGCCAGGTGCTTCTCCTGGTCTCCCATGGGGTGCAGGGCCCAAGCACTTGGGCTGTCCTCCACTGCACTCCCTGGCCACAGCAGAGAGCTGGCCTGGAAGAGGGGCAACTGGGACAGAATCCGGCGCCCCGACCGGGACTAGAACCCGGTGTGCTGGCGCCACAAGGCGGAGGATTAGCCTAGTAAGCCACGGCGCCGGCCATCATGTGTCTTTTTAAGAATCTGTCATGTACACTTCCTGAAGGGGAAAAAAATACATGTATAGTTTTGCACACAATTCCAAGACAGTCTTTAAAATTGTTTTAAAATTTTATTTATTTGAAAGGCAAACTGACAAAGAGAAAGGAAAAAAGACAAAGAGAGATCTTTGGTTCACTTCCCAAATGGCCACAATATCCAGGGCTGGGTCAGGCCAAAACCAGATGCCAGCAACTCATCCGGGTCTCCCACATGGATGGCAGGGATCCAAGCACTTGGATCCAAGCACTCTGCTGCTTTCCCAGGGGCACGAGCAGAGAGCTGACTCAGAAGTGGAGCAGCTGAGCAGCTGGGACTAGAACCAGCACTCTCATATGGGATGCGGGTGTCGGAGGTGGCTGCTTAACACACTGTGCCACAACACTTGCCCCTTCAAGATATTTGTGACTTACAAAGCCCATCTTTGGAACCCCAGCCTGATGCTAAAACTCCTGATGGTAGGAAATAAGGACACTTTCTAATAGGCAGTCAGGAGAAGAACAGCCTAAACTTAATTCTTCCCCACTTGTTCTCCACATGCATTGAAGTCTGCAAAGGGTTTGGGAACAAACGTTGGCCAACTTAATCCCTGCATCCTGCCAGGTGCTGCAGTCTCCTGTCCACTGGGCTCAGGCAGCAGGCACATCATAGCCAACGGAAGCGGCAGCTCCTCTCTGAGCCTGACACACAGGTTCCTCCTGGTTCCCACCCCCAACCTCTCCCGCCTGCAGATCTAGCCCAGACCTTTTCCCATGAGCATCCAGGCAGCCAGGTGAATCTGGGGTTCACTTTGTCACCTTGAAACATTTGACACAGCAGTTCAGAGGCTGCTTGGGATGCCTGGATCCCATAGCAGAGGGCCTGGTTCCAGTCTTGGCTCAACTTACTGCTAATGTGCACCCTAGGAGGCAGCAGAAAATGGCTCAAGGACTTAGGTCCCTGCCACTCTGTGGGAGACCCAGATTGAATTTGGGCTCCTGGCTTCCACCTGGCCCAGACCTAACTGCTGTGGGCATTTGAAGGAGTGACCAGTGGATAGAAGGTCTCTCTTTCTCTGTATTTCAAATAAAATAAAATATATATACTTTTAAAAGAAAATGAAGGGGCTGACACAGTGGCATAGCATTAGGTAAAGCTGCCACCTGAAGCGTTGGCATCCCATGTGGGTGCCAGTTAGAGTCCCAGCTGCCCCACTTCCAATCCAGCTCTCTGCTGTGGCCTGGGAAAGCAGTAGAGGATGGCCCAGTTCCTTAGGCCCCTGCACCTGTTTTGGGAGACCCAGAAGAAGCTCCTGGCTCCTGGTTTCTGGCTTCGGATCGGCCCAGCTCTGGCCATTGTGGCCACTTGGGGGGTGAACCAGTAGATAGAAGATCTCTATCTGCCTCCTTCCTTCTCTGTGTAACTCTTTCAAATAAATAAATAAATCTTTTTTTTTTTTTTTTTTTTGACAGGCAGAGTGGACAGTGAGAGAGAGAGACAGAGAGAAAGGTCTTCCTTTTGCCATTGGTTCACCCTCCAATGGCCGTTGCGGCCGGCGCACTGCAGCCTGCGCACTGCGCTGATCCGAAGCCAGGAGCCAGGTGCTTCTCCTGGTCTCCCATGGGATGCAGGGCCCAAGCACTTGGGCCATCCTCCACTGCACTCCCAGGCCACAGCAGAGAGCTGGACTGGAAGAGGAGCAACCGGGAATAAATAAATCTTAAAAAAGAAAGAAAATGAAAACCATGGGTGAAAAGACCTCCACTAGGTCTGCTGGGCATACCTTCTCCGTGTCTCATGCACCGGCTGACGTGGGAAAGCCAGCACCAGCGTCCGGAGGCCTGCTGGAGCATACCTCTGCCGAGTGAGCTCAGCGACAACACCACCTGGCCACCGGCAGGACTGCGCCTCCTGGGTCACTCTGACCTCCTCAGCAGCCACAGCCACCTGTATTTTCAAATGCCGACACCCTACTCCAACCTCTAGGCCTCAACAAAACAAAAACAGCCTTGGTTTTGGCACAAGCCTAAGTGCTCGTCACAGAGACACAGAGTTATCTCTGGCTTTCCCGACTTACACCAAAAATGATTCCTGCATCTACCCTCATATCCCCATCCAAGTTTCACTTTCGCTAGTTTATGTCCCATGGTCAAACGCGGTCCTCAAAGCTTAAATAAAAAAATTCTAGGGGCCGGCACTGTAGCATAGTAGGTTAAAACATCCACCTGCGGTGCCAGCATCCCATATGGGTGCCGGTTTGTGTCCCAGCTGCTCCACTTCTGATCCAGCTCCCTGCTATGGCCTGGGAAAGCAGTAGAGTACAGCTCGAGTGTTTGGGCCCCTGCACCTATGTGGGAGACCTGAAGGAGGCTCCTAATTCCAGATAGGCCCAGCTCTGGCCATTGCAGCCATTTAGGGAGTGAACCAGTGGATAGAGGATCTCTTTCTCTCTCTCTCTCTGACTCTACCTCGCAAATAAATAAAATAAAATATTTTTAAAAAAATTCTAGGATCCAGTATTGTGGTGTAATAGGTTAAGCCACCGCCTGCATTGCCAGCATTGCATGTGGGCACTGATTTGAGCCCTGGCTGCTCTACTTCCATTCCAGCTCCCTGCTAATGTGCCTGGGAAAGCAGCAGGGGATTGCCCAATTTCTTATACCCTTGCACCCACGAGGGAGACCTGAATGAAGCTCCTGGCTCCTGGCTTCAGCCTGGCTCAGCCCCAGCCATTGCAGCTATTTGGGGTGCAGTACACCAGTGTAAGGGATATATCTCTGGCTCTGGCTCTGGCTCTCTGGCTCTGTAGCCCTGCCTTTCAAATAAATAAAATAAATCCTTTTAAAAAGTTCTAGAAAGAAAGCATTCTTGGGGCAGGCTTTGTGGTGCCACAGGCAAAGCCGCCGTTTGGGACACCCACATGCCACGTGGGAGTGCCTGGTTCCACCCCTGGCTCCTCCACATCTGATCCAGCTCCCTGCTAAGGTGCCTGGAAAGGAAGCAGAAGATGGTCCAAGCACTTGGTCCCCTGCCACCCATGTGGGAGACCTCATGGAATTCAGGCTGCTGGCTCAGTCTGGCACAGCTCTGGCTACTGTGGGAATTGGGAGAATGAAACAGCAGATAGAAGATCGATAGATCCATCCATCCATCTTTCTCCCTGTCACTCTGCATTTCAAATAGATGAAAAAAAAATAAAATGTTCTTGTTACAAATAAGTTCATTACAGTATTTTATCAAATTGTTCTATTTTGTCATTAGTTACTGTTAATTATTATTTTTTTTTTTTTTTGGTCAGGCAGAGTGGACAGTGAAAGAGAGACAGAGAGAAAGGTCTTCCTTTGCCGTTGGTTCACCCTCCAATGGCTGCTGCGGCTGGCGCGCTGTGGCCGGCACGCCGCACCTATCTGAAGCCAGGAGCCAGGTACTTATCCTGGTCTCCCATGGGGTGCAGGGCCCAAGCACCTGGGCCATCCTCCACTGCACTCCCGGGCCACAGCAGAGAGCTGGCCTGGAAGAGGGGCAACCGGGACAGAATCCGGTGCCCCGACCGGGACTAGAACCTGGTGTGCTGGCGCTGCAAGGCGGAGGATTAGCCTATTGAGCCGCAGCACCAGCAGTTACTGTTATTAATCTCTTACAGTGCCTGATTTATAAATTAAACTTTATTACTGGTATGCTTATGTTAGAAAACATGCACTGGGGCTGGCACTGGGGCTCAGTAGGCTAAACCTCCGCTTGCAACACAAGCATCCCATATGGGCAGTGGTTCAAGTCCTGGCTGCTCCTCTTCTGATCCAGCTCTCTGCTATGGCCTGGGGAAAGCAGTAGAAGATGGCTCAGGTGCTTGGACCCCTGCACCCGCATGGGAAGAAGCTCCTGGCTTTGGATCAGCTCAGCTCTGGCCACTGTGGTCATCTGAGGAGTGAACCAGCAGATGGAAGGCCTCTTTCTCTGTAACTCTACTTCTCAATAATTAAATAAAATATTTAAAGAAAAGGACAAGAAAGCACACAGTATACAGAAGGTTTAGGACTCCCCATGGTTTCAGGCATCCCTGGGGGTCTTGGAGCATATTCCTCATAGCCAAGGGGGAACTACTCTAAGTATTTCTCCCAAGGACCCACCAGGAACACCACCAGGGCCTGTGGACCCCAGGGACAGGGAACAGAGCAGGGACTGCTTCCATTCCAGGTTCTCCCAACCACAGGAAAGTCAGCCAGGGCGGCATCTTCCTTGCCACAAACAGGGCCGCCCACTGGCACAGAGAGCGCACCAGCAAGAAAAACAAATGTCCAGGGCAGGTGTTGCCGCACAGCAGGTCAGGCCGTGATGGGACGCCCACATCTCAGATCCGAGGGCCTGGGGCTCAGCTCCGCCTCCCCTTCCGATCTAGCTCCCTGCTCATGGGCCAACTGGGAAGGCACAGATGAGAGTACAAGTAGCTGGGTCTCTGCCACCTACATGGGAGACTCGAGTTCCTGGCTCCTGGCTGCAGCACGGCCCAGCTGTGACCACAACAGGCATTTGGGGAGTGAACCAGCTGATGGAAGATCTCTGTCTCCCCCCTCCCTCTGCAACTGTGCCTTTCAGGAAAAAAAAAAAAAAAAAGTCTAAAGGCACCAAAAGATCAAAATTCTTCAGATGCTCTTGACTTTGAATTATCGTGTGACTCTCAAATTCTGTGAATAACCTGCCACCCAATTTTTGTTGCAAGAGCCACCTCAACACTATGTTTTCCAGCAACACAGGGTCATTAAAATGTTATCATACCTTGCCTCTCAGATCACTGTTACTGACTAGATTTGTGATCTCGGGCAGGTCACTTCCTCCCTGGGCCATGGTTGTGTCATTTATTCACTCAATAAATACTTATTGAGAAGCCAGTAAGTCCCAGGTACTAGGCTAACTGCTGAGGACAACAGAGATGAGCAAGATACAACCAGCTGAAGAACTTCTCCCTCTGTTGTTGATGTGTTAATGTCAATAGCGCATCACGCATCACGTTACTGAATGATTAGGGCTCTCCTGGAGGTTGGACAAGGTACTAGAGGAAAACTGGGAGGGGTGTGGCTGTGTCTGATCAGGGGCTTAGGGGTGGGGCCTGTAGAAGAGTCAGCTACATTCTACAAGAACACAGCATCCCTGTGCACACTCTGCTTCAGGGAACAACCCCAGCCACCCACTGCAGATAAGGAGTTTACCGCTGGCACTTTGCTGTTTGGCACCAACGCCTCTTCCAAATTGAAGAGTAGCCAGATTCTCAGTGTCAGACCTTTGCATTACCCAATTCTAACGATCACCCAGGAGTTGGTAAAATTTAATCTCTTCCGATTCAAAGGGCAGAATCACATTACAGGAGGGCACTTCAAAAAGTTCATGGATGGCCGGCACCGCGGCTCACTAGGCTAATCCTCCGCCTGCGGCGCTGGCACCCTGGGTTCTAGTCCCAGTTGGGGTGCCAGTTCTGTCCCAGTTACTCCTCTCCCTGTCCAGCTCTCTGCTGTGGCCCAAGTCCTTGGGCCCTGCACCTGCATGGGAGACCAGGAGGAAGCACCTGGCTCCTGGCTTCGGATCGGAGCAGCGCGGCGGCCATGGCAGCCATTTGGGGGGTGAACCAACAGCAAAAGGAAGACCTTTCTTTCTGTCTCTCTCTCTCACTGTCTAACTCTGCTTGTCAAAAAAAAAAAAAAAAGTACATGGATGGGGCTGGCGCTGTGGCGGAGAGGGTGAAGCCACCGCCTGCAGCATGTCTGATCCAGCTCTCTGCCTGTGGCCTGGGAAAGCAGTAGAAGATGGACCAAGTCCTTGGGCCCCTGCACCCGCATGGGAGACCCAAAGGAGCTCCTGGCTCCTGGCTTCAGACTGGCCCAGCTCTGGCCATTTTGGCCTTATGGGGAATGAACCTGCAGATGGAAGACCTCTCTTCTCTCTCTCTCTCTGCCTCTCTGTAACTCTGCTTTCCAAATAAATCTTTTTTTAAAAAAGTTCATGGAAATTTGAATTAAATATTTAAGATTTATTTAAGATTTTTTAAAGATTTATTTTATTTATTTGAAAGACAGAGTTACAGAGAGAGGTAGAAACAGAGAGAGGTCTTCCATCCGCTGGTTCACTCCTCAGATGACCGCAACAGTTGGAGCTGCACCAATCTGAAGCCAGGATCCAGGAGCTTCTTCCCCCATGGGCACCCAAGGACTTGGGCCATTTTCCACTGCTTTCCCAGGCCATAGCAGAAAGCTGGATTGGAAGTGGAACAGCCAGGACTCAAACCGGTGCCCATATGGGATGCCGACACTGCAGGCAGCAGCTTTACCTGCTATACCACAGCGCCGGCCCTGGTAAGTCATTTTAATATATAGCTCAGTGCTTAGAGTCTATTCTGACATATAAATACAGGTAAAATTTTAAGTTTCTCCACTCTACTTTCAATTCTTCATCAGATTTGCATATATATATTTTTCAGAAAGATCATAAATTTTATGTTAAGATGTCTCAATGATTATATAATCTGAATGTACTTAATGCCACGGAACTGTACACTTAAAAATGACTAAAATGGGGCCAGTGCTGTGGCTTAGGGGGTAAAGCCGCCGCCTGCAGTGCTGGCATCCCATAAGAATGCCAGTTGGAAACCTGGCTGTTCCACTTGTGATCCAGTTCTCTGCTATGGCCTGGGAAAGCAGCAGAAGATGGCCCAAGTCCTTGGGCCCTGCACCCATCTGGGAGACCTGGAAGAAGCTCCTGGCTCCTGGCTTTGGATTGGCTCAGCTCTAGCTGTTGCAGCCATTTGGGGAGTGAACCAGCAGATGGAAGACCTCTCTCCCTTTGTCTCTCCTTGTCTCTCTCTCTCTAATTCTGTCTCTCAAGTAAATAAATAAACCTTAAAAAAAAAAAAGCTTTCTTTCTTCCACTAAAAAAATTTGGTGGGGTTGTTGCACAGTGGTGAAGCCACCTGTCAGGACATCCACATCCCACACTGGACTGCCTGGCTCAAGCCCCAGTGGCCCCGCTTCTGATCTAGCTTCCTGCTAACGTGCATCCTGGGATGCAATGGTGAGGGTCAAGTAGCTGAGTCCCTGCCCCTCATGCGGGAGACACAGATGGAGTCCCTGGCTCCTGGCTTCAGCCTGGTCCAGCCCTGATTGTTTTCAGCATTTGGTAGTGATATAGTATACAGAAAATCTCTGTTGTTCTACCTTTCAAATAAATAAAATTTTTAAAAATATTTATTTATTTGAAAGGCAGAGTTATAGAGAGGCCGAGGCCAAGAGAGGGAGAAAGAGAGAGAGAGAGAGCGAGGTCTTCCGTCTGCTGGTTCACTCCCCGGATGCTGGTACTGCAGGCGGCAGCCTTGCCTGCCACGTCACAGAGCCAGCCCCTCAAATAAATAAATTTTTTTTTTTTGACAGGCAGAGTGGACAGTGAGAGAGAGAGACAAAGGTCTTCCTTTGCCGTTGGTTCACCCTCCAATGGCCACCGTGGCCGGCGCGCTGCGGCCAGCGCACCGCGCTGATCCGATGGCAGGAGCCAGGAGCCAGGTGCTTTTCCTGGTCTCCCATGGGGTGCAGGGCCCAAGCACCTGGGCCATCCTCCACTGCACTCCCTGGCCACAGCAGAGAGCTGGCCTGGAAGAGGGGCAACCGGGACAGAATCCGGCGCCCCGACCGGGACTAGAACCTGGTGTGCCGGCGCCACAAGGTGGAGGATTAGCCTAGTAAGCCACGGCGCCGGCAAATAAATAAATTTTTAAAACAAAGCAAATCTGTGCCTTAATGAAGCAAAGGCTACCACAGTCTCAAATCTTGTTTTCCATATTCTCAAATGCTTCCAGACAGGCTCTGGAGGAGGGGCCATGTCACACAGGTGTCAACTCCGATCAAGGAGATAAGATTAGAATCACCGATTCCAACACGCAGGAACATTTTGCTTCAACATGTGATGAGCAGAAAAACATCCATGCCATGTGTTGCTCCTGAGCCATGGAGGAACCACGGCAGAGGGAAGCAGAGACGTGTGCGTGGGCTTCTTTCCAGGGTTCCTTGGTTTATCAGCTTTCTGAGCCCAAGGTGAGTCAGGCAGGGAGCAATGCTTCAACCTGTTTGGTCTTGATCCTTCCAGAAAACTCACTCACTGCTGGCTTCTATTACTAATTTACAAGTGGGGTTGAAGCAAGCAATGGCACTTCTGACTGTTCCCTTGGATCAGTCACAAAGCCACCTTGACAGCCTTCACCAAGGACTGTCGGAGTCCTGCTGAGCCCCAGGGTCGCTCGTCAGAGTCTTAGACTGGAGAGGGATGGAGTCAGAGGTGCAGGCAGGCTGGGATTCCAGGGCTCCAGAACAAACCACGGAAACGCACAGGCAAAAAGCGCTAAAAGGACTTAAAACGCCCAAAAAAAGTCCTAAAAAAGGTTGTATCTTCAGATTCTCGACTACACAATTGCATAACTGTTCTTAGAACTTTGTGGTGTTAACTGAATGATAGAAAGTGGGAAACTAAAACCACATCAAAAGTTAATTTTTAATAACAATCTCCTAAATAGTTTTCATTAGCTCAATAGGCTAGCCTGGCACAGCTGGGAGGATGTAGTTACAGCATAATAAACATCAACAGAGTTAAAATGGACCAAATATGGCAACATTTAAATTTAAGACTTGAATGCTACAGAAATAAATGAATAATAACTTAATATCTGATACTTAATGAGGTCAATTTAGTAAATACAATAACATTACAGCAGAATGTAAGAAACACAGTATTTTACCGTATTAGAAGGCATCTTCAGTTTGATCATATAAGATGTCCATGGAGGCACAGACGCGCACACGCTGGGAGGGGCAGCAGCGACACACAGCATCATGAATTAACAGAAGTCATGGTTACGTTGAAGGAGGAGAGGAAAAGCAAATACAACATTCCCAATACACAGAAAACGCAGACCATGTGTGACAACACTGTCACGCGGATGGACGATGCAGATGGTGCAAATAAACCTTTGCAAAAGAAAAGAACCTTGGTTTCATCACCTGTGATACGAGACGTGGAGGCAGACGGCTGTGCTGGGCTGGGCTGGGATGCTGAGCTCTGTGGCTGGCGCCTCTGCACAACCCTCCCAGAGCAAACGGCCTCACTCCCTCCTTTCCTCGGGGTGTCCTGCAGTATCCTCATTTCCAATGTGAAAAGCTGCGGAGATCTAACTTTAAAAAAAAAAAGATTTATTTATTTATTCAAAAGTAAGAGTTCCAGAGAGTGGGAGGGACAGAGAGAGAGAGAGAGAGAGAGAGATCTTCCATCCACTGATTCACTCCCCAAATAGCTGTAATGCCGGGCTGGGCCAGGCTGAAGCCAGGAGCCAGGAGCTTCCTTCCTGGTCTCCCATGTGGGTGCAAGGGCCCAAGCATTTGGGCCATCTTCTACTGCTTACCCAGGTGCATTAGCAGGGAGTTGGATCAGAAGTACAGCAGCCAGTTTCAAGCTGGTGCCCATATGAGATGCTGGCCTTGCAGGCAGAAGCTTTACCCACTATGCAACAGTGCCAACTCCTAAATTTTTTTTAAAGAAACTCATACTTTTAAATAAATTTTTATTTATTTTCATTTTAAAAGTAGAGAGAAAAAGATAAGGAGAAGAACTTCCATCTACCAGTTCACTACTCAAATGTTTGCAACAGTTGGAGCTGGGCAAGGATGAACGAAGGAACCCTGGAACTCAGTCCAGGTCTCCCACAAGAGTGTCAGAGACTCGAGGACTTGGGCCATCAACACCTGCTGCCTCCCAGGGGACACATCAGCAGGCAGCTGGAATCAGAAATAGAGCAGGGACTTCAACACAGGTACCCTAACACAATGTGGGTGTTCCACGTGGTGTCTTGACCACGGTGCCCATTGCTCACGGCCAGGAGGGCCTAATTAACAAACAATCTCCATGTCTACTCCAGCTGCGGTGTGCAGTGTGCAGTCACTGGGCCTCCAATGTGTTCACACTGTGCTGCTGCACATGGAAGAAGTTTCTGGCTCCTGGCTTCAGCCTGGCCCCGCACCAGTCATTGTAGCCATTTGGGGAGTAAACCTGAGGATGGAAGATATCTCTGTCTCTGTCTTTGTCTCTCTCTGTAACTCTGCCTTTCCAGCAAATAAAATAAATCTTTAAAAACAAACAAACAAATGAGGGGCTGTGGTGCAGCGGGTTAACGCCCTGGCCTGAAGCGCCAGCATCCCATATGGGCACCGGTTCTAGTCCCAGCTGCTCCACTTCCAATCCAGCTCTCTGCTGTGGCCTGGGAAAGCAGCAGAAGATGGCCCAAGTCCTTGGGCCCCTGCACCGCATGGGAGACCTGGAAGAAGCTCCTGGCTCCTGGCTCCAGATCGGCGTGGCTCCAGCTGTTGTAGCCAATTGGGGAGTGAACCAGCAAATAGAAGACTCTCTCTCTCTCTCTCTCTCTCTGCCACTCTTCTCTCCTCTTCTCTCTGTGTAACTCTTTCAAATAAATAAATAAATCTAAAAGAAAACAAAGAAAACAAAAAACTTTTGAAACAGAACATGCAATTGATCATATGGGTAGGAACCAAGGACAGTCACAGAGTACTGAAAATGCCATTATGAAATACATAATTCCAGCAAATGGTATAAAAAAGTTGATGCACAGGGCCTGCGCTGTGGCATAGCAGGTAAAGCTGTCACCTGCAGTACCGATGTTACATATAGGTGCTGGTTAGAGTCTCGGTGGCTCCACTTCTAAGCCAGCTCTCTGCTATGGCCTGGGAAAGCAGCAGAAGATGGCCTAAATCTTTGGGCCCCTGCACCTGCATGGGAGACCTAGAAGAAGCTCCTGGCTCCTGGCTCCTGGCTCCGGATTGGCCCAGCTCCAGCCCATTGCGGCCAATTGGGGAGTAAACCAGTAGTTGGAAGACTCTCTCCCCCTCTGCCTCTGCCTCTCTGTAACTCTCTGCCTTTCAAATAAATAATCTTTTCAAAAAGTGGATGCAGAAAATACATCAATTTAAAGCTTTGAAGCGTGTTCCTATTCTTTCTCCAATGGGTATAAAGATATCAAGACACAATCCTCGGGGCAGGCATTGGGCCTAGTGGAGTCCTGGGTCAATCCCCAGCTCCAGTTTGCTAATCCAGCTTTCTGCTAATGCAGACGCTGGGAGGTGGAAAGGGGAAGGCTCAAGTAACCAGGTTCTTGCCACCCATGCGGGAGCCCTGGGTTGAGTTCCCAATTCTTGCTGGCTTTGGCTTGGTTCAGCCCAAGCCATTTCAGGTATTTGGGGTGTGAATCAACAGACAGAAGCTCTCTCTTTCTTTAAGAAAATGAAAGTACAGAGTGACTGCTTTTGCAGAGGCACTGTGGCATACACAGATTTTCCTGAAAGAGTATTCTCAAAATATACTAAGACAAATTTTTCACTTAAAATCAATTGTGAGGTACATAGGGTACAATTATACTATTCTTGCTACTCTTTACTAAGGTTTTAAATGCCAATAATCAAAATTTGGAAGCTCAATTGAGGATTATCTTGTTAATTTTAAAATGTTTGCTTTTTGTTACCTGCAGTAGAATGCGCAGCTGAATCCTGGAAGAGCCACCGCAGCCTGGTCAGTTGGGTGGCTGTTCAAGGCTCTCCCATGTCAACAGAAGCACACTGTAGGCCAGGGGCCCGCCTCGTGGCACAGCAGGTCAAGCTGCTGCTTATGCCACCTGCTTCCCGTATCAGAGCGCCAGTTCAAGTCCCAGCTCGTCAGCTTCTGATCCCACTCCCTGCTAATGCACCTGGGAAGGCAGAGGAAGATGGCCCCTGCCACCTCTGTGGGAGACTCGGATGGAGTTCCTGGCTCCTGGCTTCAACCTAGCCCAGCCTTAGCTGCTGTGGCCATGTGGGGAGTGAATCAGTAGAGATCTCTCTCTCTTTCTCTGTCCCTGTGCATGTGTGTGTAATTCTGACTTTCAAATAAATACATTTTTAAAAAGTAATAATAAAGTTGAAAGAGCAGATTCAGATTCAGTAAGTCTGGTGGGGCCAAATATAGTGTGTGTGTGTGTGTGTTTTAAAAGATTTATTCATTTGAAAGGCAAAGTGACACAGAATGAGAGAGAGAGAGATCACACATCTGCTGGTTCACTCCCCAAATGCCCACCACAGCCAGGGATGGCACAGGCTGAAGCCAGGAGCCTGGAGCTCCACTCAGGTCTCCCGTGAGGGTGGCAGGGGCCCAAGCACTTGGGTCCTTGGGTCATCGTCTGCTGGTTTACAGTTCAGGAAGCTGGACTGGAAGCAGAGGCATCTGGACTTGAACTGGCATTAAACAGGGGATGTGGGCGTCCCAAGCAGCGGTTTCATGAGTTGCACCACAGCTGGCCCCAAGATGGTACACCTTTAAAGAGCCTCCAGCTCCTGCCGGGAGCGGGGCTGTGAAGCAGCGGTTCTCAACTTCAGGTGCTGCAGAATCACTCCCAGGGCTCCTGAAAGCAGATGATCCCCCCACCTCCCCGCCCCTGGGGTTCCTAATTTAGAAGGGTGGGGTGGAGTACAAAATTCTGCATTTCTAACATAGTCCTCGGTGGTGCTAATGCTGCCCGTAGGGACCCCACTCTGCGAAGCACTGCTATAGAGAGGAAAGTCTATTCTGTGCTGCCACCAACCCGCCCTGTGACTCCCGCAGGAAGGCATGCATTCAGCTGCAGTCCACACAACATACAATTGACAGCAGCTTAAACAAATGGCAGTTCTTCTTGGTTGTTAAGTCCAGAGGTGGGCAGTCCAGGCTGGGGCCTCCTCATAGGAAGTCAGCAGGAGCGTGCAGTCTTTCTGCACCACGACCACGAATGTGTGACTTTGAACTCACGGCCACATGAGGGCTGCAGAACCAAGTTCCAAGCTGAAAGAAGGGAGCCAGGCAAAGGAGTAAGGGGAGCTGCACTTGATCTTTTGAAAAAGTTAGGAGGCCTGTGTGTGGCATAGCAGGTAAAGCCGCTGCCTGCAGTGCCAGCATCCCATATGGGCGCCTGTTCAAGTCTCGACTGCTCCACTTCCCATCCAGCTCTCTGCTATGTCCCAGGAGGGAAAGCAGTAGAAGATGGCCCAAGTCCTTGGGTCCCTGTGCTTGTGTGGGAGACTCAGAAGAAGCTCCTGGCTCCTGGCTTGGGATCAGTGCAGCTCCGGCTGTTGCAGCCAACTGGGGAGTGGACCAGCGGATGGAGGACCCCCCCTCCTTTTGTGTAACTCTTTCAAATAAATAATAAATAAATCTCTCTCTCTCTCTCTTTTTTTTTTTTTTTTTTTTTTTAGACAGAGTGGACAGTGAGAGAGAGAGAGAGAGACAGAGAGAAAGGTCTTCCTTTGCCATTGGTTCACCCTCCAATGGCCCCCGCGGCTGGCGCGCTGCAGCCAGCGCACTGCGCTGATCCGAAGGCAGGAGCCAGGTGCCTCTCCTGGTCTCCCATGGGGTGCAGGACCCAAGCACTTGGGCCATCCTCCACTGCACTCCCGGGCCACAGCAGAGAGCTGGCCTGGAAGAGGGGCAACCGGGACAGAATCCAGCGCTCCGACCAGGACTAGAACCCGGTGTGCCGGCGCCGCAAGGTGGAGGATTAGCCTAGTGAGCCACGGCGCCGGCCAATAATAAATAAATCTTTAAAAAAATAGCTAGTCTAGGAGTCTCAGTCCATGACTTCTGCTTCCATCTCACTGAGCATGACTGTAGCTATCAGAGACCTACCACTGGCAGGTGATGAGGGAGCAGGGACTGGACCTGCCACGGTGACCTCAGACATAGGCGCGAGACCTTCATATTAAGACCACGGGAGCTCCCAACAGTAAGCGCACGTCTCAGTTCTTGGAACCCCTGTCTTATGCACAGAACATACAAGAAGCACTACTGGAGGTCGGGGCAGGACTCCTGTACACTACAGGACACTCGGCATTTCTGATCTCTAGGTACCAAATGCCAGTTCCCCTCATTGTAAAACCCCTTGACCATTTCCTGATCTGCCACCTGTGCCTCAGTTTGATGACTTCCCAAATTTCCATCAGTGCCAACTGGGTAAAAGGTAAGTAGCCTTTAGCAATCTGTTTACTCCATCGCCCCTACTAGTCTGATAAAACCCACAAGGCTTCTGCAGGTTTGCAAATGCCTCCTGGTGGGGGTGGAGTGTGGGAGGGGACTTTACTCCTGGGTTGGAAACCACTGTGATGCCCTCTGGCCTCTGTAATAAAGGCCACAGAGGAGGCGCCTGGTGCCTGCTCTTCTGCCGTGGTGGGTGAGCATTCTTTATCTCCTTGCTGCTACTGACAGCGTCACTATTCCACCTCGTTGAGAAAACCTCCCTCCACGGATGCACATCCAGTGCAGCTCCATCACTCCACTCCTTGTCCCAACGGTCTACCTACTTCCAAGTCACTGCTCCTCCTTCACACCACGCCTCCCCTCATCCAAGCCCGGCTCTGCCTTGACCTTCTCACATCCAGCATCCTCTCCTTGACCTCGGCCACTGGCCATTCCACAGACAACTCCTCAATCTTAAACCTGACTGGCTCATTCGTATCTATTGATTTATTTGAAAGTCAGAGAGACACACAGAGAGTCTTCCTCTGAATCCTCGGGTTCACTCCTCAAGTGGCCACAACGGGGCTGAGGCAGGCTGACATCCACTGCTTTTCTCAGGCCATTAGCAGGGAACACGACCTGGCGCCCACCTGGGGTGCGATGCTTTGCCCACTACGCCACAACACCAGCAGCCCCAACTGGCTCATTCTGGCACCACCACTTCCCGCGCCTCCAGCTCCTGGGTCTCTGTCCCACTCCTCCCAGGCAGTCAGCCCTAACCAGCCTCACACTCTTCCCTGTGGACATCCTGATGGATGTCCCTGATCTTTCCCCATCCTCCCGGCCCTGGACCTAGCTGACTTTCTGCCCTCCTCCTGCTCCTAGGCTGGGGTCACTGAGTGCTGGGCAAGCCAGTACTCCTCCAGGTGGGTCGTCACCATGACAACCAAGCCGCCTATAACTGCCCCCACCCACCCCAGGGCTGGGGCTGGGGATCCTCTGGGCTGTCCACGGCCGCCCTCCTTTCTCCCCCTCCCCTCTCATCCCCACTCTCAGTAGATAACTTCACTCCTACTTGACTGGTGAAAATAGAAGCCATCAGGCAGAAGCCCCCTCAACTTCCTGCCCCCTACTCCCACCCCCCTGAGACACTTATTTTTATCCACACTCATCCTTTCCTCCCTTTGATTGTAGGGAAAGTTTCCTTCCTGTCGTTAATCCCTCCACCTGAGCCCTGCATCCCAGTAGCTGCAGCCTCCTCAGGGACCTTGGCTCCCAAAATCTCCTCTCTGCCTCTTCAGTATCTGAACATGGAAGCCCCTCCTATCTTTTTTATTTATTTATTTTTATTTGAAAGGCAGAGTCACAGAGAGGCGAAGAGTGAGAGTGAGAGAGAGAGGTCTTCCATCCCCTGGTTCACTCCTCAGTTGGCTGCAACAGCTGGACCTGCACCAATCCAAAGCCAGGAGCCAGGAGCTTCTTCCGGGTCTCCCATACGGGTGCAGGGGCCCAAGGACTTGGGGCATCATCTACTGTTTCCCAGGCCATAGCAGAGAGCTGGGTCAGGCATGGAGCAGCCGGGACTCGAACCGGAGTCCACATGGGATGCCAGTTCTGCAGGCAGAGGCTTTACCTGCTACACCACAGCGCCGGCCCCAACCTCTCCTATCTTCAACAAAGCCAAGTTCCCCAGATGCTTAGATCCCATCTCCACTGTACAAATCTCCCTTTTTCTCACCGCCTTTAGAGCAGGGTTCTTAACCTTTTCAAAACATGGATGTTTCTTTCTGCTTAGTGGACAATGTTATTTGAATGAATAAAATATATGTAGAATTACCACAGAAACCAGTTATACTGAAATACAGTTGTAATAGCATTTTTAAATTTTCTTATTTGAAAGGCAGAGGATAGAGAGGGAGAGATAGCTCTCATTCACTGCTGTGCCAGGCTGAGGCCAGGAGCTGGTAACTCAACCCAGGTCTCCCATGTAAGTGGCAGGAACTTAATTATTTGAGCCATCACCACTGCCTCCCAGGGTCTACACTGCCAGGAAGCTGGAGTCAGGAGCCAGATGCAGGGGTGAGATGATGTCCAGGCATCTTAACCGCCAGGCTAAATGCCTGCCATGTTATAATATCTTCAGCCATTGCTTGGGATACTCACAGCCCATACTGGAGTGCTGGTTGCAGTCCCAGCTACTTTGCTTCTGGTCTAGCTTCCTGCTAATACATTCTGGGAGAGAGCAGATGATAGCACAAGTGCTTGGGCTCTTGTAACACACATGGGAGACCCCGATGGAGTTCCTGGCGCCTGGCTTTGGCCTGGTCCAGCCCTCACTGTTGCAGCCACTTGGGAGAATGAACCAAAGTTGGAAAATCTCATGCTCTCTGTCTCTGTCTTTCTGCCTTTCAAGCAGTTGAAAATAAATAAAAACATACATTAAAAATAAAATTTTATGAGCAACTTTGACATAATATATGTGATTGATTTATTTGAAAGAGTGACATAGAGGGAGAGACAGAGAGAGACAGAGAGAGTCAGATAACTTCCATCTGCTTGCCCACTTATCAAATAACTGCAACAGCCAGGACTGGGCCAGGCCAAAGCCAGGATCCTGGAACTCTACCCAGACCTTCACGTGGGTGCCACAGACCCACGCACTTGAGTCATAAAGTCCTGCTACTTCCAGGCATCTCAGCAGGAAGCTGGATCAGAAGCAAAGTAGCCAGGACTCCCACATGGGATGCAGGTGTCCCAAGCAGTGTGACTCAACCCACTGTGCCACGATGCCCAGTCTTTTTTCTTTGATTTTTGTGTGTCCTTTTTATTTTCTAAAAGATTCACTTATTTATTTCCTTGACAGGCAAAGTGACAGAGAGTGGAAGAAATAGAGAGAAAGAGACCTTTCATCCACTGATTCACTCCCCAGGATGGTCCAGGCCAAGGCCAGGTGCCCAGAACTCCAGCCAGGTCTCCATGTGGGTGGTAGCAGTCCAACACTTGAGCCATCTTCTGCTGCCTTCCCGGGTGCATTGGCGGGCAGCTGCATTGGAAGCAGAGCAGACAGGACTGAAACTGGGGCTCTGGGATGGGATGTGGGCATCACAAGTAGCAGCTTAACCCCCTGTGCCACGAGGCCAGCCTGTGTGTCCTGTATTAACCCATTCAATAGCAAGATCTTTGCGTTACTCCTGGGCTTGTCTCTAGGGTGTTTCTGGAAGGGACCGGCATCTGAGTGATGAACTAAGGATGGCAGGTGACCCTCCCCAGTGAGGGTGAGCATCAGTCAATTGTTTTGGGCCTTGAATGGAAAATAGGACAGAGTCAGGGAAAACTCAGATTCTCTGCTTGAGCTCAGACACCATCTTCTCCGCCCCTGGGCTCGGGCTTGCAGACAGCCCAGCACTCATTCCATGGGAGCCTGATTCTCAGGACTGAAACAGCCACCCGCTTTCTAGGTTCTCCCACTTGTAGCCAGCAGATCATGGAGCTTGGAAGCCTCTACAATCGTGTGAGTCAGTTCCTACAGATCTCCCGTCACACACGGACACGCGTCCTCCACCTCCGTTTATCTACATCCATCTACTGTTGTTCCTATTTCTCTGGAGAACCCTAAAAACACCATTTCCAGGTGCCATACCCCAGTATGACACCAGCAGCTGAGAAGAGCGTGTGTCTCCCTGTGGGGAGCAACTGGGAGCAACTCGGACTAGACTAAGTTACTGGAATTAAGACTTATTCTATGCATCTGCTCTCCCACAATATGGCGCTGGGAGAGGAGGAAACAGCTTCTACACAGCTGCCTCCAGTTCAACCAATAAACTGTAGGACCTGCTCCTGATTGGAGGAGAGCAGCGTACTTGGCGTGTGGGTAGCAGAGTTGGGATTGGTGGAAGAAGACTATAAAGGAGGAGAGAGACGGCATGCACCAGGAACATCTAAGAGGAACATCTAAGGGGAACACCTGTGCAGCCCCCGAGAGAGCCGGCCGGCGGTGTGCCGCTCCCCCGCGGAAGTGGGGAAAGTGGCAGGGGGAACCGCCCTTCCACGGAGGTGGAAGGGACAGTAGCCAACCCGGGAAGAACCAGCAGCAAACCCGGGGAGGGCCGAGCAGACAAAAGAACAGCGCAGGGTCCTGTGTCGTTCCTCCACGAAGACGGGGAGTGACATAATGGTGCCGTGACTTGGATATGAAGCCTAGGCAGGGTTTAGTGTCATTCCTCCATGAAGAGGGGGAGCGACATCTCCCCATGTCTCTTTATTTTTAACCAGTGAGGGGACCTTCCCCAGAAGTCTTCCCTCACATCTCCCTGGCCTGAGCTACACCATATGGCCCTGTCTAAACTAGTCCCTGGTAAGGGAATTGTGACAACCAAGACTGGCTTGGATTAATTAATACCACAGAATCACTGGAAGGAAACATAGAATGCAGAACAAAACCAGGGTTCTGCCTGCCACCGAGGGTGAGGGATCCAACCCTACTGATTCACTCTGGCTTTCCTTTGATTTTTTTTTTTTTTTGGCTTCATTTTTCTTTTCCATACAGTTTTCCCTTCTGCCCCTTAAATGTACATTCTACCAGGTTGCCCCAGTCTATGTTCAATCATCTTAAACTCTGAAGATTCTCCATCTGTACCTCTCACATCTGCACCCCCTTCTCCCGGAAGGCCCTTCATTCCCCAGCTGGATTAACGCAATCTTGCCTCCTCTTTTGTTCTCTGGCTCTTCTCACCGGAGTCACTGACGCCTAAGAAATGCAGATCTGATCCTGGCCTCCTCTGCTCAGGATCCTTCAGGGCCTTCTTTTTCCACAGGGCACACCCAGGTGTGGCCCCTGCCAACTTCTTCAGTTCACTACTTAAAAATTTCCATGTTCACCCTAAACTCAACACACCACAGCTGGTCTGCAGACATGCTGCTTCTTGCTCCACCAATTCTTCCAACTCCCTCCCTCCCTCTCTCTCTTCCCACAGAGACTCAAAAGTGCTTTTGGGGGGCCAGCGTTGCAGCACAGCTTGTTGAGCCTCCGTCTAGGATGCCAGCATCGCATATGAGCTCCAGTTTGAGACCTGGCTGCCCCACTTCCGATCCAGCTCCCTGCTAATGTGCCTGGGAAAGCAGTGGAGGATGGCCTGGGTGCTTGGGCTCCTACACCCATGTGGCCATTTGGGGAAGTGGTTGGAAGACCTTTCTCTCTGTCTGTAACTCTACCTCTTAAATAAAAAATAAATAAAATCTAAAAAAAAAAAAAAAGTCAACCTGGTGTAACATAAGTACATAATAAAAGAACAAAAGAATAAGCAAATGCTCCACAAACAGGATTGCTTTCAGGGTGATTCCCCCCTCCCCCGCCACTTGGGAAAACCATATAGAAAAACAACACAACAAAAACAACCAAAAAACCACAACAAACCACAAGCCTTGGGGCCGGCATTGTGGCATAGCAGGCAAAGCTGCCATCTAAGACCCCAGCATCCTATATGGATGCCAGTTTAAGAACTGGCTGTTCCACTTGCAATGCAGCTCCCATGTTAATGTGCCTGGGAAAGCAGTGTGGGCCCCTGCACCCATGTGGGAGACCTGGAGGAAGCTCCCAGCTCCTGACCTTGGCTTGGACTACACTGGCCTTTGCAGCCATTTGGGAAGTGAGCCAGTAGATGAAAGACATCTCTCTCTTTCTGTAACTCTGCCTTTCAAATAAATAATCTTAAAAAAAGACACAAGCCCTTTTGTCCATTTCATAATCAAAATATGAATTTAGCACAACTCCCTTTGTATAAGCGTTGTTTTAACTTCTCCTTTCCTTCATTTTGAATGTTAGTCCCTGGGCTCATAGGATCGCAGGTGGATAGCCATGATGTGCACACAGCCCTTCCTCGCAGTCACGGAGACAGCCTCAGTTCTCTACCTCACTCCTCTCCCCCTCCACAAGTTACCTGTGCTCCTCCTGCAGGGCAGGTGTCCAGGAAGAGTCCAGAAAAGACAACGCATCCAAAAACGTTCCGTTCAACCTAGGACGATCCATGGAGGCGGTGTCAGTAACGAGCTAGTTGTTAGCTGCATTTTCAGCAGAGGCGGACCAGGCCTCCCCGGAACATCACCACCAGCACCTTATCACAACCTGGATCGCAGCACGTGGAGGCACGCAGACTGGCCAGGACTGCACGGTCCACCCCGAGCAAGCGGCCTTGAGACCCTGGATCTTAGGTCCGTGGGAAGAATCGTGAACCTGGGCCTCGTGCTCAGCTTCAACAGAGCTCAGATCTGACACTGATCTACAGGGCCATGAATACTTGGCTTTTTATAAAATGTATGTAAAGAATCCACTTAGGCCGGTGCCGCGGCTCAGTAGGCTAATCCTCCGCCTTGCGGCGCTGGCACACCAGGTTCTAGTCCCGGTCGGGGCGCCGGATTCTGTCCCGGTTGCCCGTCTTCCAGGCCAGCTCTCTGCTGTGGCCTGGGAGTGCAGTGGAGGATGGCCCAAGTACTTGGGCCCTGCACCCCATGGGAGACCAGGAGAAGCACCTGGTTCCTGCCTTCGGATAGGCGCGGTGCGCCGGCCGCAGCACGCCAGCCGTGGCGGCCATGGGAAGGTGAACCAACGGCAAAGGAAGACCTTTCTTCTTCTTTTTTTTTGACAGGCAGAGTGGACAGTGAGAGAGAGAGACAGAGAGAAAGGTCTTCCTTTGCCGTTGGTTCACCCTCCAATGGCCACCGTGGCCAGCGCACCGCACTGATCCAATGGCAGGAGCCAGGTGCTTTTCCTGGTCTCCCATGGGGTGCAGGGCCCAAGCACTTGGGCCATCCTCCACTGCCTTCCCTGGCCACAGCAGAGAGCTGTCCTGGAAGAGGGGCAACCGGGACAGAATCCGGCACCCCGACCGGGACTAGAACCCGGTGTGCCGGCGCCGCTAGGCGGAGGATTAGCCTAGTGAGCCGCGGCGCCGTCCAGGAAGACCTTTCTCTCTGTCTCTCTCACTGTCTACTCTGCCTGTCAAAAAAAAAAAAAAAAAAAAAAAAAAAAAAAAAAAAAAAATCCACCTACCGCTTCTACCCTACCTAACCTCTGCCATGCACAGCAGCTGCCCACCTGTGCTTCTGTTCGCCTGCATCTCGGAAAGATAAGGGCGGCTAACACGTGCTGAATCGTGAGTGGCCGTCGGGCTCCGTGCAAAGTGCTGGTGACCCCTCTCCTATAAGCCGCATGGATCGCTCGGTCCCCAGCAGAAATGGAAAGCGTGCTAAGGGGGAAGACTTAAGGCCAGCCCCGCCGAAGGCCCCGACGCCTCAGGTTCCAAGCGTTGGTGCCCCGTCCCCAGCTCATCAGACAGGGCTTCTGAGAGGAGACTGGACACACCGCAGCTTCTCCAAGGCGGACAAGCGCACGCCTTCCAACCCGCAGGCCTGGAAACGGATTTGAAGAGAGTGCTCCCACTTCTGGGAGAGAAGATGCAGGGGCAAGGCACGGTTGGGAGTCGCGAGCCGCGGCGAAGCGTCACCCGCTAGGGTCACACACACACACACACACACCGGCCGCGGCTCGCGGCTCGCACGCAGAGCCCGGCGCCCCCGCCCCCGCCCGGCCGAGGCAAGCGGACACCGCTCGCTGGCGGGCAGCCCCGGCGCGGAGCACGTCCTGGCGGCAGCGCCCGCCCCGCCCTCGACCCTCAGAAGGAGCAGCCGGACCCGCCCCGGCCCGGCGAGAAGGCCGGGTCCCCGTGCGGACGCCGGAGCCGGACGACGGCTGGGGGGACGGAAACGGCCCGAGGCCGGGGCGAGCTCCAGAGCCTTCCAGAGCCGCCCGGAGCAGTCTGGGCGGCGGGGCCTGGAAGGCGGCCGAGTTCTCTTTAAAAAAAAAAAAAAAAAAAAACCACGAGCGAGAAAAAAAAAGAAAACAAAAGCCGGCGTCCGAGCGGGAGTCTCGGCGGCGCTCTGGCCTGCTCCTCCCGGGCTCCCAGGGCCGGCCCCCCTCGGAGCGCGGCCTGGAACGTTCCGGGGGCGGGCGGCGCTGCGCCGGCTGCTCCGTAATTGTTCCGAGACGGCTCCGAGCATGCATATGGAAGAAATAAAGTAGCTCCCTATCTCAAATAAATTCCAGATGCCCTGGAGACCTACCGGGAACACGCGAAAACTGTTGTGCAAGCAGGGAAGATACTGCGAGTAGGGGCCGGGGTGGGGTGGGGTGGGGGCTTCCTTAAGTTCTCGAAACAAAGGGAAAGTCCGCAGTAAAACTGACAGCGTCCCTGTGGCAAGACACACTTCTCGATGTGAAGACGAGGCCCAGGTGATATCTGCAAGCTGTCCAAGGGTGGATGTGCGGAACTGACTGCAAATGTCTAAGATAAACGGGCAAGGGCTACCCACGGGCAGGTCCCAGAGGAGGCATCCCCAAAAGGAAAGCGAGTGGCCCTCGCCCGGCATCGCGACTGGGCATTCCACCCTCCAGATCCCCTTCAGCCTCTGTGGAACTGACAAAACCAGTACCTGGCAGCCCAAGAGCAGGTGCGCCTGTGGGAAACAACTCGGGCTGGGAAGAGTGCAGCCGGTCAGGAATAAGCCCCAAGCTGTGCAAGCCTCCACAGAGACTTGGCGCTTCCTGTTCGTAGGCAGGCAGCTCCTGTGCCCCTGTGGTGGGGGGTTATTGAGAACAATCTTTAAAAAACATCAAAACTGTGCATTGTATGGAGTACTATGTGACATCTCCAAACGCGTACATGGTGTGATGTTCAAACCACAGAAAACATATCTGTCTCTGCAAACATTTATCAGCTCTTGAGGGTTCTAGCTTTTTAAGAAAGCAAACAATACTTTACTGTCATCCATAGTCACCCCACAGGCCAATTCAACACCAGAATGCCTTTCTCCTGTCTAACTATAACTTAGTATCGGTTAATCACCCTTTCCCATCTGGCCTTCCACTAATTGAGAACAATCTAACCCCACTCGTTTGGAAGTAGAATAAACTGCTTTTGTTTGTCCACTGAAATACAATACAGCAGTTAAAAGGGATGAACTAAATCTACCCATATTAACACGGCTACATCACAAAAAGCCCTAATGTAAGGTGAAAAAAGCAAGCTGCTTTTCTCTGATATTATACTTTGGTATCATTTATATAAATTTCAAAACAAAAATAGATGGTAAAAATATAAAATTATGTTGTCTATGTCACCTTTCCGGTAATTTAGAGTAAAACAGAGCCTCAGAGATACCACTTCACACCCAGGCTATGATCAAAAGCTAGCGAGGAACAAGTGTTGCTGGAGATAACACTGGAACCCCTCAGCACTGCCAGTGGGAACGTAATCTTGTGCAGCTGCTGTGGAAAAGAGTATGGCGATTCCTCAATTAGACACAGTTATCAGCAATCCTACTTCCGGGTATGCAAGCAAGGAGTTAAATAGATATCTGTACACCCGCGTCCAAAGGGGCACTATTCAAAATGGCCAAAAGGTGGAACAAGTGTCCGCCGAGGTTTGAGTGGATAAACAAATGTGGTGTATCTATGCCACGGAATATTATTCAGCTTTAATAGAGAAAGAATGGTGACTTCCAGGGTCTGCGCCGAAGACGGGAAGTTGCTGTTTAATGGGTAAGGTTTCAGTTTGGGAAAGAGAAAATGCTCTGAAAATGGAGGGTGCTGATGGGTACAGAACAATGCGAGTATACTTAATGTCTGTTAACTGTTGAAATGATGGATTTTATGCTGTGCACGAGTATGTTCAAACAATTTTAGAAAAATAGAAATTTAAAGGAAGAAAGTTGCCTTGGATCCAGCCCAGGCCCCAGCGGAGCTGACAGTCCTTAGGGCATCAGGACCTACACCCGGACTACCTAGTGCACCCAGCCGTCCTCTCCCCACCTGCCCGCAGCCTAAGGTCGCGACCCTGCAAGCCCCCGCCAGTCTCAGGGCGCAGGCGCGGAGAGGTGGGCAGGCGGGGGCGTGGCCTCGCTCTGCGCCTGTGCCGAATTCCAGCTGCGCCTGCCATGGGGGAAAATGATGCCCAGGTTGGGCTCCGCGGCCCGCCGGCGGAGCAGACGCCCGCACTGCACACGCGCAGACCGAGCGCTCGCGTCGAGAGGCGAGGGGAGCGCGCGCTGCCCACGTCCTGCGCGCCCGGCTGCCGGGCGTTCGTCTCGGCCCTGACTCCCGCCGGGCCCGCGTCCGCAGAGCGATGCCCCGGGAGATCATCACCCTGCAGCTGGGCCAGTGCGGCAACCAGAGTGAGCAAGCGAGCTCCGGGCCCCGCCACTCTCTCGTTCTGCCCCTTCGGGGTCCACGGGAGTGCTTGGTTCCCACCGGGTCCCCTCTCCCTCTCGTGAACCCCCTGCCCTACTGCGCATGACCACGCAGGCCCTGGGCTGTGACGGCTCCCAGAGCCGGCGTCCTGGGCGCACGCTCCGAGAGTGGCAGCCTCAGAGCCTGACGCTGAGCTGCCCAGGCCTTTCGGCTCTCGCAGACCCGGGCGTCTCCCCTCTCCCCAGTTGGTTTCGAGTTCTGGAAACAGCTGTGCGCCGAGCATGGTATCAGCCCCGAGGGCATCGTGGAGGAGTTCGCCACCGAGGGCACGGACCGCAAGGACGTCTTTTTCTACCAGGTGCCCCCGGCGGCTGGGCCAGGACCCCGGGGGCCTGAAGGGACGGGGCAGGGGCTGGTGCTGGGGAGCCCGCTGGGCACAGGGCCCCGCGGCTGGCTCGGGGAGGGAGGCCCGGCAGGAGCCCGAGTGGGACTGGACTGGGGCCTGGGCCGGCGGTGGCGCCGGCTGACGGGGCCGCCCCTTCCCGGCCTCTCGCTGGCAGGCCGATGATGAGCACTACATCCCGCGGGCCGTGCTGCTGGACCTGGAGCCCCGGGTGATCCACTCCATCCTCAACTCTCCCTACGCCAAGCTCTACAACCCGGAGAACATCTACCTGGCTGAGCACGGAGGAGGAGCTGGCAACAACTGGGCCAGGGGATTCTCCCAGGTGTCCAAGCCGGGGACCCTTGGATAGTCCCACCCTGGGGCAAGGCAGGCTCAGGCAACCTGGGAATTTGACCAGAACAGATTTCTGATACGTAAGAGATAAAGGGATGCTTTGACAAAGGGACAGCCAGGGAGAGCTTTATGCAAATTTTGTACAAGTCACAAAGTATCATTTCTGCGTTGAGGGCAAGAGCTGAAGCTCTGCTTCAGGGGGGTCACAAAGCCCTCCCCCGCCGCCCTCCCTTGTGGAATTCTTGTTGCTGAACAGAGAACCTTGGACCTGACTCTCTGCCATGTCTCTGTCCAGGGTGAGAAGATCCACGAGGACATCTTCGACATCATAGACCGGGAAGCGGACGGAAGCGACAGTCTCGAGGTGAGCTTCTCCCCAGCTCCCGTGGGGTGCAGCGGAGAGGGGCTGCGGCGTGTTGGGGGTCAGGCGGTGGCCCGAGCAGGCCCTGGGATGGTGGCAGTCCAATTCCAGGCCCATTTGTTGAGCATCTGGTTTGGGATCTTGAGGTAGATAAGGTGCAGTCCTTGTTCTCAGGGAAGCCGTAGCCTGGAGGGTGTGAATCCCTCAGCCTGTCCCCAAGCCCTGAGTCTTCCCAAGGAGCCTCGGCCTGGACGGACACAGAGGAAGCCTTGAGGCACGAGTGTGTTGCGAGTGGGTGGGGAATGAGACAAGCTGGCAGCCTCCCCCTCCCCCTGCCCAGGTCCCTGGTCACTGCCTGTCCTTCACTCCCACACAGGGCTTCGTGCTGTGTCACTCCATTGCCGGGGGGACCGGCTCTGGCATGGGCTCCTACCTCCTGGAACGGCTGAATGACAGGTAGGCCGGTGTTTGTTAGGAGGGCATTAGCCCGGGTCCCCTTTTCCTTCTGAGCGGGAAGGCCTGCCCCTACTGCTTTTGAGTCCTAGAGACAGACCCACCCAGGTAACCTTGGCAGCAACCAACACCTGGGGGGGGGGGCACCTGGGGACAGGGGAGATCTAGAGTTTGATGCTTGCAGCTTATCCTGTTCATTCTGAAGACTGAGTCCCGCCCTTACCCTGCTACTGTACAAGAGCTTGGTGGCACACGAAAATCGTGGTGCCCATTGTCCCCACAGAAGACAGAGTGAGCAGTCCGGTAAGTCCTGTTGCTTCTCTGTGCCACCCTCCCCCTTTCCTTCTTCTTCACCCTCAGGTACCCCAAGAAGCTGGTGCAGACCTACTCAGTGTTTCCCAACCAGGACGAGATGAGCGACGTGGTGGTCCAGCCCTACAACTCGCTCCTCACGCTCAAGCGGCTGACTCAGAACGCAGACTGCGTGGTGAGCAAAAGAAGAGGGAGTCGAGGGCTGTGGGACCCCCCTGAGTCACAGCCAGCCTGCCCTGCCCTGCCCAGCACAAAAAGAACCACCAAAGCCAGACCCGTGGTCGGACTGCGAAGTAAGGTCGCAACCTCCAGGGTGCTTATGTGACTTTAGGCAGCCAGTCCCCCAGCACAGGGACTGCCTCCCCCTGCCACCACATAAGCCACTCAGCCCACTCAGTGCCTGCTCACGTTTCAGCTCCAGCTCAGGGGTCACTGTCTTAGTGAAACTTCGCTGCCTACCCAGTCAAGGTCAGCTTCCTTTGTCATATTTCAGGTTAACAGCGTCTTTTTTCTGTTCTGTATTCAATGTCAGCCTCCCTCAACTAGGCTGGAGGCCTGGCGAGGGCAAGACCGTGCCCGTTTTCACTCTGTGGTCACTCCAGACCCAGGCACAAAGTGTGGCACAGAGGACACTCACAGATTTGTTTACTGCCCTGCACTGTCCAGAGGGACTCATAATACCCCAAAGAATGCTTTCCTTGTAAACTAGCAAAGCTACTGACTGCCTTTACAGCTTAGCAGGTGCTCAGCCAATATTTCATGTCTATGCCACCCTGTCTGTCCCCTCCAGGTGGTGCTGGACAACACAGCCCTGAACCGGATAGCCACGGACCGCCTGCACATCCAGAACCCATCCTTCTCCCAGATCAACCAGCTGGTGAGCCCACCTCTGCACTCCTTCCCACTGGAAGTCCTCCCTGAGGGAGGACTGTCGGGGGAGGGGGAGGGGTCCTACCCAGGCCAGGCCCATGACACAGCACCCCTGTCCCCAGGTGTCCACCATCATGTCAGCCAGCACCACCACCCTGCGCTACCCCGGCTACATGAACAACGACCTCATCGGCCTCATCGCCTCGCTCATCCCCACGCCCCGGCTCCACTTCCTCATGACCGGCTACACCCCCCTCACCACGGACCAGTCAGTAAGAGCAGCCCTCAGTGTCCCGGGCCAGCTGGCCCTGACCTGGCCTCTCCTCTCCTCGCTGCCCTGGCAGCTGCCCATTGCAGCCCCCAGAGGCCTTGCACTCAGGCACTGGCAGAGCGTGGGACTGTCTCGCTGCCTCGTCTCCACCTTCCCTCTGCCCTGGGCTCCTGCAGGCCCCGTGGCGTGGGGAGCGCTGTTGGCTCCTGCACGAGGACATGTCTGTGAGCTGACGCTGGTCCTGCCTGAGAGGCCGCACTGCTCCAAGTCTGCCGGGGTGTGCTGGCTCCTCTGCATCCCTGCCCGGTGCCCCGAGTGCTGGTCTGGCCCCTGTGACCGCTATCCCACCCCTCAGGTGGCCAGCGTGAGGAAGACCACGGTCCTGGACGTCATGCGGCGGCTGCTGCAGCCCAAGAACGTGATGGTGTCCACAGGCCGGGACCGCCAGACCAACCACTGCTACATCGCCATCCTCAACATCATCCAGGGGGAGGTGGACCCCACCCAGGTAGGGGAGGCCCCTTCCTCCTAGCCTGAAGCCGCAGGGGCACAGAGAGGCTGCCACCTCCCACTGTGCCCACCCAGGTCCACAAGAGCCTGCAGAGGATCCGGGAACGGAAGTTGGCCAACTTCATCCCCTGGGGCCCAGCCAGCATCCAGGTGGCCCTGTCGAGGAAGTCTCCCTACCTGCCCTCAGCCCACCGGGTCAGCGGGCTCATGATGGCCAACCACACCAGCATCTCCTCCGTGAGTCTGGCCATCCTCTGTTCCACCCTCTGCCTTCCCCCAGTCACTTCTCAACCCCTCCCCGTCCTACGCTGGCCCCTCTCCTGGAGTTTTCCGTTTCTTCCAGCTCTTCGAAAGTTCCTGCCAGCAGTACGACAAGCTGTGGAAGCGGGGAGCCTTTCTGGAGCAGTTCCGCAAGGAGGACATCTTCAAGGACAACTTCGACGAGATGGACAGGTCCAGGGAGGTTGTGCAGGAGCTCATCGACGAGTACCACGCAGCCACCCGGCCGGACTACATCTCCTGGGGCACCCAGGAGCAGTGACTTCCCTTCCTGTTCCTCTTCCCGAGTGGGAAACACAGCCTCCATCCCTGGTTCCGCTGACCCAACCCTGCCCGTCAGCCTCTCTGGGTCATCTCCAGCCCAGGAGCTGGCCTACTTCCTCCCTTCTGTGCCCTGACCCTTGATATGCTTGTTCAGCTCTAATAAAGTAATAAAGCGTGCTTGTGAGCATAGGCAGGGCTTGAGCGGAACCTGGGGGATGGTGAAGGGATGTCCAGTGTCCAGGCACGCGATGGGAAGGTGGCCCCTGCCTGCTCTAGTCCAGGTCTGTGTCCAGGGTTTCCACTGGTGTCCTTTTTTTTATTTATTTTTATTTTTTGACAGGCAGAGTGGACAGTGAGAGAGAGAGACAGAGAGAAAGGTCTTCCTTTGCTGTTGGTTCACCCTCCAATGGCCCCCGCGGCTGGTGCGCTGTGGCCGGCGCACCGCGCTGATCCGAAGCCAGGAGCCAGGTGCTTCTCCTGGTCTCCCATGGGGTGCAGGGCCCAAGCACTTGGGCCATCCTCCACTGCCTTCCCTGGCCACAGCAGAGAGCTGTCCTGGAAGAGGGGCAACCGGGACAGAATCCGGCACCCCGACCGGGACTAGAACCCGGTGTGCCGGCGCCGCAAGGCGGAGGATTAGCCTAGTGAGCCGTGGCACCGGCCTCCACTGGTGTCCTTTACCTTGAGTCTAGCTGTCTTACTGGAGTCAGCCCTTCTCTCAAAATTACAGAGGATTTCTGGGGTCTTCTCTCTCCCCCGTGCCCACGCTGTTGCCCTAGGGGACCAGCATTGCCCCACCCTCCTCCATTCGGGACGGAGGACATGGGGTCTACTGAAGCAGGGCCCGCTGCATTCTGAGCAGGTCAGGAAAGCCAGGACTCGGGGTTTCCAGCGCCCAGGGCCTTCAGAGTGCTGGGAAGCAGGAGCAGAACTCGAGCAGGGATCAGCCCACCCTGAGTTACTGTTCCAAGCCAGGGAAGTTCTTAGCTCTTTACCCTGCCCCAAGCTCCTCTCCATTCAGGGCCAAACCAGTGGGCACACCAAAGATGGACCCAAGCAGGGCCCAGGAAATCAGGGTAGGAACTGGGCAGTGCCAGTCCTGATGACTCACTGCCCTCCAGCCTCAGAGATGCTGGGAGGCCGCCCCTCCGCCACTCAATGGCTGAGGGAGGGTGAGTAATTGCCAGCTTCCAATACTGCCCTCTTGCTGCCCCACCCACCATGCTATGGCAACATACTGGCCAGGAGCAGGTTCATTCCAGAAGGTCGAGGAGGGTGTGGCCGCGTGGTGTCCAGACTTCTCAGTGCCTGGTAAAAGCCCAGAGTGTGGGCGTCCCCTGGGGCGGAGCTCTGAGCCCAGGGGCTCCAACTTGTCCCACCGACAACACTCCCACAGGAAGGGTTTGTGTAAATAAGAATTTTTTTTTTTGCTTGTCTTCTACAAATAAATTAAGAAACAAACTAGAAAACTGTCCACACCCATTGCAGCCTATGGGTGTGAGATGTGCCCTGTCCCTGCAGGGCCAAAAGGGTCCATGGTTCGCTCCCATCTCAGAGCAGTCCTGGCCCAGGCTGGAGGCAGGAGGGAAGCTGTGACCTCTTGGCAGGCTCAGTCCTGTCCCTGGGGCTCATCCAGGCCCGAGTGCTGGCTGGGAGGGGCGGTGTCTGGCAGATCTTGGCATGGAGGAGAAGGGCTGCAGGGCCTCTCGGGGGAGGGACTGGCCAAGTAGGCATTCACCAGCTGCATGATCTCTTCCACCTAAGAGAGGGCAGAGGGCAGTGGGCAGCAGGGGCCACTGGGTTCTCTCCTTTCTCTTCTCCTCCACCCAGGCTCCGGCCTCTGCAACCTTCCCTTGCTTGGCCCCATTTTCTCTCCCGCCTGCTGCTTTCTGTCCGGCACCCTGAGGTTACTCTCCGCTCCAGGCTTTTGCTCCTGCACTTCCCTCTGCCCTGCCTGCGGTTCCCCTGGATCTTCCTAGGGCTTAGACTTTGTCAGCCTCTTTGAGTCCTTCCCCACACCCCTTAGGCTACGGCTCTTGCACTAACAGGATTCTGTTGGAGCATGTGCCATTGCCTTAAGCAGCCTTGGATTCCCACCCTCATCTCCCCTCCTTGCACTTGGCTTTGCTAGAGCCCAGCGCCGAGAGCTGTACCTGGCCCACGCCTGGTGTGCAGTGAGTCTTTCTTGATACCCCTTCCTTTCCCTCCTCCTTCCACTTACCTGGGGACTCTGAAGGAGGAGCTGGCTCTCTCCCACCCTCATGGCCAGAGTGTGGGGGCCCATTAGCTGGCAGGCGGCCACGTGGCCATAGCTGACACTGTGGATGGGTTCTGTCTCACCTGGCCGGGAGAGGGACATGGCCTTGGCTCCCAGGCCCAGGCATAGCTTCTGTGGAGCACCCCCACCAGGCTCCTGCAGATGGACAGACAGAGTCAGGGTGGAACCAGGGCCCCCTGCAGCACTGTCTGTGGTTCTGGGAGATGGCTGAGCAGGGACCTTCCCGACCCCTCTAGGATTCACAGGCCAGGCATGGAGGGGCTACAGCTCCAGGGAGCTGCAGGCCAAGGGGCTGGTGACTCCTGGGGTTTGAGATGGGCAGCTGTTCTGGACCCAGGGAATGAAGTAGCCCACAGCAGAGGTGGGCCTGTGGCTCTGGGGCAAAGGTGTGGGGCTTGGGCCGCCAGAGTCCCCTTCTCCCTTCTCCCCCTCACCGTGCTCAGCTCCAGAACGTCATACCGAGCAGCGCCGAACCCCGGACACTGCGCCGCCAGAGCCAGGTAGGTAGCCATGGCCTCAGCTCGGCCCATGCCCCGTAGCCGCTTCCAGCCGCCCAGCACGGCCGCCGCCGTGCCGGCGCCGCCTCCTCCCTCGCGGGTCAAGCTTCTCGCCGGACGGCCCGCCCCGCCGCGCCGGGCCCGCTCCGCTCGCCTCTTGGCCAGGCTCGGGCTCCACAGTGCCCCGGCCAGCAGGGCGGCAGAGGGCGGCGGCCTGGGGAGCGGGCGGGGTGGGTCTGCGCGGGGCGGCGCGGTGGGGGGCGGCAGCAGGCGGTCCAGGCGTGGCAGGGGCGCCCGCGGGGAGAAGTCCCGGTGCAGGCTCTGCAGGCGCAGCGCCGCCAGGGCGCGCAGGGTGTCGTCGGGCGGGGGTGGCCGGCCTCGCAGCAGCAGAGCGTGAGCCTGCGGGGAGGCACCGGCGTTAGGGCACGGGCGGCGGCTGCACTGTCGGGAAAACCCCACCGGCAGTGGCACCTTGGGGAGGGGGTCTGGGTTCCAGGACCAGAAAAGAGGTGGTTCGGACTTGGGAGGGGGCGGGGCGGCGGAGATTCGCACCTGCTCAAAGAGGAAAGGCAGTTCGTGGCCGTCCGGGGACAGCCCCTCGGGGTGCAGCGGGCCATGAAGACGCAGACACAGTCTACACCCAGAGTCCGGCGCGTCTTCCAGTCCGGCGTCTTCCGCCGCCAAACTGCAGGAGGGGAAAAGGCGAGGGGCGCTGGAGCAGCAGAACCATTTCCCCCTCCCCGCGCCCCCAAGGCCACTCCTCGGAGGGGGCGGGGCCACATGCTGGGGGCGGGGCCTTATGCTAGGGGCGGGGCGGGGTACAGGTGCCCGGGAGGTCCGACGCACCTCCGTGTGCAGCGCAAGTGGCAAAGGCTCCACGAACGTCCGCTTAGGGAGTGTCCGTGGCTGAGAAGTAGAGGGGCTAATAGACAACGGGGCTGGGGCTGGACATTTACTTCTCAAACCTGGTGAGCACGTCGGCCACGAGGGTCCCTCCAGCCAGGGCTCGCTCCTGGGCACCTCGCTGCTCGTACAGTGCAAATGCGTTGCGGCTCCGGGCCAAGCCCAGTCGCCCCACCAGCTCCCGAGCCACCTAGAAAGGAAGCGGGGTGGTGATGGTGGTGGTGGAGGGGGAAGTCAGGCCCCCCAGGCCCCGGGGAATGCCAGGATCCTGGGAGGGGCTGGCCCGCGAGGGCTCTGATCCCCTCCCTTACCAAAACAATTAATCAGACCTGGCGCAAATTGCGAGCCAGGAATTGGGCACGAGGAGTTGGAAGAAGGGGCTAGGGGTGCGAGGGTCTCTCCCTGACCTCACCTCGCCCGCTGTGGTGTGCGAGTCGATGGCCACCGGGCAGGCACCAGCCCCCGGGCAATGCACGGTGCACAGCAGCTCCTGCCGACGACTCAGCGCCGAGATCTCCGCCAGTGACGGCACCAGCTCTCGGCCGCGAGTCCGACTCAAGGCTTTCCGGATGAAGCGCGCGTACTCCGCCAGTTCCGAGTCCGGGAGCGCCTGCTCCGTCCTGGGAGAGGAGGAACCCCGAGGTCGGTGCTCCGAATGCCGCCTTTCTTGCATTACAGTTTACTTCGTCTCTTGCTGGCTCTCCCCACCCCTCCAACTCAAGTTTCTTGAAGGTAGTGCCCGGCTCTTCTAAATCTGAGTTACTCTGTAAGTCCTTCCACAGGTAGCGCCCTCCCGCGGGCTCCGGAAAGTCTCGGTGACCTTGCTGAAATCTGAAATCCTGCCCTATGTTGCTGCTGCGAAGGGCTCTGGTGCTGGCCTGCATCAGCCCAAGGAAAAGCAGCCTCTTTATAATTTCTCTGCCCAAAGGGGGCGTCTTACTGTAATGCATCCTCTCCCAAGTGGGGTATGATCTTGAATTCCCACCAGGGCATTGTACATATTAGCAGCAGCCCTGGCCCTGCGCAAGGACAGTCACTCCTCTGGATCTGGAGTCAGCATCCATAAAACCCTCCACAAGCCCCTCCCAGCTCTGCAGCTCCCTTGCTTTGACTTTGCCCGCCCCCTCACCTCTCCAGATGTCCCAGGAGGTGCCCCCGTACAGCTCCCCCAGGCCGGAAGGTGCAGCTCATGCAGGTGAGGAGCTGCCAGTACCGCAGGGCTGCAGGGTCTTGGGTGGCTGGCAGTCCCGGGGGCCCCGTGGGGCCTGAGGTCTGCTTAGCCAGCTGTAGGAAGAGTTCGTCGCGGAGTGCAGGCAGGTCCCGGCAGGTCTGGAGCACACCCTGCATCAGGGGCCCGGGGCGCCGCGCCCCTTCCAGTGCCTGCAGTGCCAGGAACAGCCGGACTGCCTCCTCGCGCAAGGGTGCGTAGCCAGGACCTGTGGGAGGGTGGGGGTGGAGGGACGGTTTGGAGAGGGGACACAGAGCTGCGCCCTGGGAGGAAGGCATACACCAGGGGAATACGAAGGAAGGGGGAGGTGGCGAGGGGGAGGGGGTACAAGGACAGGAAGAGTGAAGGGAAAGCAATAGTCCCAAAGTTTCAACACCTGCCTCCCAGGAGTCCCCTCTCCCTCTCCTGAGAAGCCTGAACTTGGAGTTAGGAAGGTAGATAGACAGGCTAAAGGGCCCAGGCTCAAACTCCAGCTTCAGTAACCGGCTACTGATGGTCATCACCAGGGGCCAGAAGACAGGCTGGACTGGCGTGAGAAAACCAAGACTCTCTGCAGCTCATCTCAACCCTCTAGCTTTAGGGCCTGGGCCCATGACTACACCCTTTAGGGAAGAAGTCCAGCCGGATGAGACCAACACATTCTTCTCCCAGAGCAGCGGCTCTTCCACCGCGTGAAAAGGTAACATAACACGGTCTTCCCAGGGGAATGAAAACTGGAAAGGGTGCTCTAGCAGTTCAGCTGCCGACCAGGACCCCTACACCCCAGGGCCTGGGTTCTGGACCCAGCTCCAGCTCCTGAGTCCAGCTTCCTGCTAATGCAGACCCTGTGAGACAACGGGGTGGGGTGGGGGGGATGGCTCAAGGACTTGGGAACCTGCCAGTCACAAGGGAGGTGGCATTCCTAGGTTCCTGGCTTTCAGCTTGGACCTGGTCAAACCCCAGACATGCAGACATTTGGGGAGTGAACCAGCAGAGGGGAGCTTTCTCTCTCTCTCTCTCTCCTTCCTTCAAATCAATATAAATTTTTTAAGCAGAAGAGAAGGTATAAAAACTCTGAATGAGGCCCACAAAGAAGGTGGCCAGAAAAGCCCACCCCCCCCTTTCCTGTGTGGGCGTCCCTGCCCTCCACCCTGGCCAACTCCATTTCACCTTCACCCCTTGAAAAGCAAGGAGCTGGGGAGACCCCTGCCTGTGGAAGCACTCAGGTTCTTACCTCTGCTTCACTTCATCCCAACCAGGGGACCACTCACCTGGGGCGCTGCCTCCGTAGGGCAGGGGCAGCAGTGGGGCATACAGGGCCCCGCTTGTGTGCCTCAGGATGGGGTTCCGGTGGTAAATGAGGGCCACTGCCTCCGGGTCTCCACAGCTCTCCTGGAGGCGAGAGGCAGGATCACCAGGCTGGGCCAGGGAGCGCCCCACGGGTCCATCACCCCCTTGACTGTCTAAGGACCTCCACCTCACCTGTATGTCCCTGAGCAGTAGCTGCGTGGGGGTCTCCAGCGGGGCCTTGGAAGCGATCACTTCCCGCAATGCCGCCCCCCAGCGCTCGGCCTCGGCTTGGCGCGGGGAACAGAGGCGGACGCTGTGCTTCCGACCAGACACAGTCACTGACCACAGACCTGCGGGACAGAGAGGCCACGGGAGGCGGCCGTCAGGACCGGCTGAGCTCCCTGCCGGGAAGGCAGGAGAGCTATGAGAAATCTCACCAGTTTCCTTGGGCCTGCGCTCTGGGCCGGTCACTGAGCACAGACTGGTAAGCACCAGGCTCCCGAGGCGCCGCGCCCCCTTCCCGCTGCTGCTGAACTGGTCCAGAGAGTCCCGCGTGAGCACGAACCAAGCCCGGCGCGGGGGCAGCCATGGCCGCGCTCCTCCCCCGCGGGGCTCGCGGTACAGCCAGCCTAGGGGGACGAGACGGAGAGAATGGGGGGTCAGCCGAGGAGGCAGGGTCCCCTGCAGGGGTGGTGCGGAGGGTCTCCAGAGGGCATTGGGTGCGGCGCCCACCTTTCACAACGACATCGGGGTCGTCTTCCGGCAGCCCCTTCTCCGGGATGAGGCTCCACGTCTCCTCCCAGCTCTGCAGCCTGGGCCAGAGGGGAGCGAGGGTTGGGCGAGGCTGCAGGGCCTCCCCTCTGCCTCCAGGGGGCTCCTCAGTGCGGGCTCCCCAGACTGCCAGGGGTGCCTGTTTCCAAGCGGGACACCCCTCCTCCAGACTGTGGGAACTGCCGGGCCATTCTGACCTCGTACCAGAAATAGCCGGGACCCCCCCTCCCTCCCCGCGCCCCCGGCCGGACCGCCCCCCGGGACCCCGGCCAAACCACAGCGTCCGGCGTAGGGCCTCTCCCTTATTGCACAACAGTCCTCCCGCGAGGGAAGACAGCGAGGTTGGGGGGCTTGAGAACGGCCGGGATCTCGAGACTACGGGATGCAGGGGCGATGCTCACCTGTCGGAGACCTGCCCGCTCCTGGCTGGCTGAGTCAGCGTCACGTCCAGGGAACCCTGGAGACACAAGCGGAAGTCTTCAGGATCAGAGCCCTCCCTGCGTGATGCCCTTGGCTTCTGCCCCCAGGGCTGCGCCGCTCAAGGGATGGAGGAAGGAGTGGGGATCGCAACCAGGGCAGAGCGAGCTGGAGGCCCGCGGGGCTCGCCCCGCCCACCGGTCTCTATAGAACAAGCTCGGAGCTCCGCAGAGACTCGGGCTAAGGCGCCAAGGCTCATGCAGCGTCTCCCTTAAGCTTTAAAGATGCAATGGGGCAGAGTAGGGTGGAAAGAGCACTGTGCAGGGAGCCAGGAGACTTGGGTTCTAGTACCAGCTGAAGCATGCACAGGCTCACTGGACCCCTGGGACAAGTCCCCTCCTGATTCTGGGCCTTGCTTTGAACAGCGAGAGGTGGCTGCGCTGTGTCACACACACACACACACACACACACACACACACTTTTATCCACTCTGCCTTGCTGGCCAGGGGAGGGTCAGTGGTGGGCACTGGGAAGAGGGGGCCTTTTCAGTACAGGGCTTTGGCCAGGAGCTTACAGCTTCCCACAGCCACCCGAGACTCAGCGTTGGGCAGAGACCCTGCCCCTTCGCGGGGGTTAGGGAAGGGCAGGCCAGGCTGAGGAACGGCACTCACTCTCAGACAAGGCATTTTCTCCTCTTCTCCCACCCAACTTGAACTACACACTGGGCTCTGAAAGAGGCTGCGAACCCAACCGTCGACTGAGCCAGGCAGGAACTGGGCCATCCTCCCATTGCGCCCAGACTGCTAGAGCCAGGAGGGGGGAGGGGGGCCAGGGACACCTGTCCCCAAGCTCCAGGGAGGGGGGTGGAGGTGGGGCACGACGGAGGCCATGGTGTGACTGACAGAGCAGACCCTGCCCAGGCTGGAAGCCTGGGGACGCCTGGGTCCTGCTCCTTCCCTGGGCGCTCAACCCGTTCATTTCTGCAAAGTCTGAGCAGGGCTGTCGGGAGTGCCCCTACTGGGGCAGGTACTGACCACCCTCAGACCAACTGCCCTAATCGCAGTCCCCTGCTCCCCCCTCCTCCCCTCTATATTTATCTGCCCTCAGCCTCGCCAGGTGCTGGCTCTGGCCCCAGCAGCGGCACAGCCCGCCCCACCCGGGCACAGAGCCACCAGGCCTGCTGGGGACCCCTGAGTGGAGGATGGGAACCCGACTTGGGCCACAGCACAAGGGAGTCTGGGCACCCTGTGCAGGGGCATGAGAGTGGAGTCAGGGCATGGAGGTCCCTCACACCAGCCGTGCCTCAGTTTCCCCATACGGAGATCCGATCAGACCAGGCAGCTGGCAGACTGCCATGGCCTGAGATTTCCCGGGAGCCTCACCAGGGAAGGCCGAGAGTTCTGTCCTGACCCGCCGGGTACTGATGAAAGGTCTTCAACGAGCCACTGCCCCCAGTTCCCTCTCCGTGGAGTCCCTGCCACGGATCCCAGTCCTACGAAGCCTTCCGCCCCTCGCCCAGGTCCCTGCGGTGGGAGCTCCGGCATCTGGCCCCAGCGCACATGAACTGGGAGCGGAGAGGACCCAGGCGTTCGAGCCGCCTAGCCGGCCTCGCCACATTCCTTGGCGCTGGCGGAGGCGGAAGGAGACGGGATGGGACGCGAGCCCGACGGGGAAGGGAGAGGCAGGGCCAGGTCGGGCCACGCGTGACGCCTCCCCTGCCTCCGGGCCCCCAGCAGGTGGACAGCGCCCAGCGTGCTGCGCGAGGCCCACAGGCGCATCCGGAGCCGGGCTTGCTGCAGCCGCTCCCGGGGGCTCTGACCCCTGGGCAAGAATCTCCCCTCACGACCCCAGTTTGCCAAGAGCACGGCGTTTGGCTGGAGCCCGGAGCCGGATCCAGCATGACGGCTGCTTGTAGTGAGAGATCGAGATCAGGGGACTTACCCTCCCGCCGCCCGCTGGACTCGGGGTCCGTAGCTCAAAGGTCTCTTCGTCCTCGTCCTCCTCCCCGTCCCCGCTAAGCTCGCCGTCTCCGTAGTCCCGGTGCAGAAGAGTAAAGCCCCGACGGCAGCAGAGGAGCCACCACAACCCCCCGGGGAGAGGCATCCGGGCGGGCAGCCGGGGGATGGGGGCGCGGACCGCTGCGGCCGAACAGCAGGGGGTCGGAGAAACTGGCGGGGCTCCGACCTGAGCGGGGAGACGAGGCGGGAGGGGGGGGCGGGCGGTGAGGAGGCAGTGTCCGTCGCTGGGGTGGAAGGGGACGCTACCTAGAGCCTGCGGGGGGCTCAATGTCTGGGCCCCCGTAGGGGGAGGGGGGAAAGGCACCCAGAGCCTGGGGCGGGGGGAGGAGAGAGCAATGTCCGGAGCTGGGAAGTAGTGTCCGTTGTAGTGTCCAGCCCTGTGGGGGGCAGCGTCCGGTGCAGTGTCCGAGGTGGGCAGTTGTCCAAGCTCCAGGGAGGGTCGTGTCCGGTAGGGCGTCCGGTGGCCGGGGCCCGGGCCGCGCGCGCTGCGCTCCCTGCAGCCCCGGGACTGGCGCGCTGGGGGCGCGAGCGCAGCGCCGGGACCCCGCCTCCCCAGCCCCCTCCTCCTGGCAAACCCCCCCCCCCCCCCCCCCCCCGCCGCCGATTCCCTCTTCTTTCTCTCCTCCCTTCTTTACAGGGCAGGGTCCAGGTTTCGTCACAGCATCCTCTGCCCAATCCTTGTGCCTGGCGCCGGGCGCGGCCGCCAATCAAACGGCTAAAACCGCGGCGGGTTGCATCATGTGCCCCTGGCTTGGTGACAGCGGGGAGGGGCGGGGGAATTGGGAGGGAGGGGGCGGTGCGAGGCTGGCCACGCCCCCGCCCCCGAGGTCGGACGCGGGGTGCTAGTGACGTCACGGAAGCCCGCCCTCCTGCTCTAGCTTTAACTCTAGGCACCTCCACCAACGAATTAACCCTTTTGAGGAGCTCGGGAGAAAGAGCGGAGCGTGGAGGAAGGCCCGGGTGCTGCCCTCTGCACCCCGGCCTCGTCGCGGGGTCCCTGGGAAGGCGGCGAGCCTCAGCTCCCCGGAAGGTGCCCAGACTTGGCGCGGGACGCAGCTCTACCCTTGGGGTCAAGGAGCCCCACCGCTCGGGCCCAGCCACCTCCTATTAGAGCTGAAAAAGCTGAGGCAGGAACTCCAGGGAGGCGCAGAGCGAGGCGGGAAATAAAATCGAATCTAGAGCGCACCACTCCCCCTGAGCTCACGTAGGGAGTGCTCGGAGTTCCTGGGAATTCTCTGCTCTCGGGCCGGCGTGGGGCGAATATCCTGTGGCTCTGAGTAAGAAAGGGTTAACCGAGGCGCTGGGCGAGCGGGGCGGGGTCAGGGCGACCCGGGGCGCGCGCGCGCCGTGCTGACTCAGCGGCGGTTCCCGAGGTCTCGGGCGGAGGGCTCCAGGTCAGCTCCCAGCAGCTGGCGCGCAAGACCCTCTAAAGATCCGCGCCTTCGCCGGGTCTTCCCCTGGCCCCTCGGAGCCGCGGCGCTGGGTCTGTGCCGCCGGGGACTCCTGGAAGGACGGCTCGCTTCGGGCCAGGCGGGGCGCGACAGGGCGGGGACTTGAGGCCAGCGCCTCCCTGGAGACCTCCCCGCCACGCCACACCCTTCTCGCCCCTCGACTCCGGGCTGGAGCGCTGGGCACAGCTTTGCTCACCGGATGTTAAGCTGCGAGAACTGTCGCATGTGAACCCCGTCCTGCCTGTTGTGATTGTGTAAAACAAAGACCAGGGATTGACGCCACCGCCTGTGCGCCCTCGCCCCCGACTAGAGCGGCCTGTACTGAGATGTCCTGGGGATGGAGACACCGCAACCACAAGCTCCCTTCCCCGTCGGGATCCCGGGAGGGCAGTTCTTTCTGAAGTCTAACCTCTCTCCTCCCCGGAGAGCTCAGGGCATTTCCTCTGACCGCATCCTCAGGGCCGGCGGAGAGCAGCATGCCCACCCCCACCGCCATCCCCACCCCCATAAGCTACCCTTTGGAAATTTGCAAATTGCAATTCCCTCCTTGGTTTCTTTCTCCGAGGGTGAAAAACTCTGACTCAACTTGAAGCACGACTTTTTTTTCTCTGCAGCCCAGAATTTTAGAAGGGATTGTAAAGTGGTAATTAATCCAAACGCCCACTCTAAACCGGCGTCTCCTGCCCCTATCGCCACGCCCCCACCTGGCACGGGCGCACGCACGGCCTCGGCCTCGGCCCGAAGGCTCCCAGAGCCGGGAACTCGGTGTGCGCTAAGGCAGCCATTACTGGACAGGGCTCTCTCCCTGTCTTCCCACAGTTTCCAGAGGCACCGCTGCCCCTCCGCGCCGCGCCTCGGGTGGCAGAGGCTGGGGGCCGTTGGAGGCGGTGTCAGTGCCTACGGCTTCATCGGCCTCTCACCCCCCCCCCCCCCGCGGCCCCGGGCTCGGCGAGCAGGGAGGTGATGGGGAGGGCGAAACCCACCTGCTCTGCCCGGCTACAAATCACCTCCAAGTCGGGGGTTCCGAAAATAGTAACGCTTGATGGGTTGCATCTGGTTTCCGTGTTATCAATTTTAATGTGGCAAGGCACAGACGACGTCTTCCCATGGGGTCCCTGCCTTTCTCTTAGGGCTCCCCCACCTCTCTCCCACTCCCCTCCCTCCGCCCGCCCCCCACGCCCCTGCATTCGCAGCCCTAGTGGTCCCAAGAGAGGCTGTGGGTCTCGGTGGGGGCAGAGCAGGAAGAAAGGCGGGGCCGGCGGGGGCAGCGGCTGCGGGCACGAGGCCCTGGGCCGCAGCCCCCACCGCGCAGCAACCTCCGCAGGTCCTGGCGGAAGCGCAGGCCCAGAAAGGCGTAGAGCACGGGATTGAGGCCGCAGCGGGCCAAGGCCAAGCCGCCGGTGACCAGCAGCGCCAGATCCTTGCGCTTGCTGGCAGGGCAGCTCCGCTCGCGCGCGGCCAGGAAATCGGCCGTGTCCAGCAACAGGGCGAGGCTATAGGGCAGCTGCAGCACCACGAAGGCGGCCACCAGGGCCACCACGACGCGCAGCGCGCGCCGGCGCTCGGGCCCCCTGGCGGCCAGCAGCGTGCGGCCCAGGAGCGCGTAACAGGCCGCCATGACGCCCAGCGGCAGCGCGAAGCCCAGGGCCACCTGCGCCACGGCGCTTGCCCCCTTCACTGTCTGTGCGAGGCCCTCGGGGAAGATGAGGCGACAGCGCCGCTGGCCTTCCCGCTGCCCGTCCCGGCTGAAGAGGAGCGCGGGCAGCGCCAGGAGAAGCGCCAGCAGCCACACGATGACTGTGACCAAGTGCGCACGGCCTGGCGCGGAGGGCCGGGGCCCAGCTGGAAGCGCCCTCGCGATGGCCACGTAGCGGTCCGCGCTGATGCAGGCCAGGAAGAGGAAGCCGGCGTGGAAGGAGGCCGAGTAGAGGCCGGAGATGGCGCGGCAGGTCGTACTTCCGAGATTCCAGCCCTGAAGAACCCCCACTGCGGCAAAAGGCAGGGTCAAGGCCAGCAGGAGGTCGGCCAGGGCCAGCTGCAGCAGGTGGGCGGAGGTGGGCGAGCGGGCGGTCCGTCGGGCCGCCAGGTGGGTGGCCAGGACCAGGCCGTTGCCAGCCAGACCCAGCGCAGCCACGGTCAGGGAGACGCTGGGCTGGAAGGCTCGGCTGAAGGCCTGGACATCGGCCTTGTAGCAGAGTTCCGGCAGTGGCTCGGCGGAGTACGCGTCCTCCTCCTCTCCCGAGTAGGGGCCCCAGGAAGCCTGGGGGCGGTCAAAATGAGAGGAGAGGCCCTATGAGACCTCTTCCCACACATCTCCTCCCCCTACACGTGCCTGCCGCGCCCGGGGCTCCCGCGGGGCCAGGTGCAGCCGAGTCCCGGGAGAACACGTAAACTCACTACTCTTCTCAGTACACCTCAGCAGGTCTTGCATTCCTGCCTCTGCTTTCGGCCTCCTGGGTGACCCTGAGCTCCTTTCTGAACCTCCGCTACCTAATGCGTGATGTCCCCATGAGAAGTGCTGACCGGCCAGTCTACCTGGAAACGCTTGCTGCGTGGACTGTGAAATATGGAAGATAAGGGATGGGAGGCATCTGTGCTCCCGTAGGCTGACCGTTTGCATTATTAATAAATCCTGAAGTGCCGGGCCGCTCGCTCGCGCGCTCTCTCTCTCTCTCTCTCTCTCTCTCTCTCTCTCTCTCTCTCTGCAGCGCCCTCTCCTGGACAGACGCCCGGATGCAGGTTCTGCCTCGGACTTGGACCCTGAACTTGGCAGCCTGGTGTAGACCGGCTTTCTGTCTCCTTTCCCTTCCTCCTTCCCAGCCTGCTTCTACCTCCAAAACAGACACACTGAGCCCCTCAAGCCTCGGGGGTCTCGGGGCTGGGGCTCAGTGTGAGTTCAACCGCACTTCCCCCAGCCTCCCGCCCCTGCCCCACCAGCCCCAGCCATCTGGAGGGTGGCATCCCGCCCAGGTCTCGGGATGGCGGAGACCTGTGGCCAGGTGGGGAACCCCATCCCTCCCTCCCCCCTGCCCTCGGAGTCACCCTTCTCCCCCTCCCTGTCCCCACTCCCACCTGCTCTGTGGGCTCCGTCCCCATCTCTGGCTACAAGGTTTCTGAGGTAGAGTTGCAGGGGCTAGAAGTTAAATAACCAGTGGGACAGGAAGGAAGGGGCGGGGAGAGGGGCTAAGAGGGAGGCGAGCATTCGGGTCTGTGGGCTCACTTTCCTATTCTACTGCCCCTGAGAGATTTTCTCTTCAGTCGAAGAAGAGATAGTATCTTTTAAAAGCTGTCATTTGCTAGCTAGCTGTGCGATCTTAAGGTTGTTTTTTTTTTAACCTCTCTGAACCTCAGGTTGTTTTTTCAGAGTTCTCTATTTATTTGAAAGGCAGAGTTAGAGAGAGAGCACGCGCGCTCTTCCATCCGCTGGTTCACTCCCCAGAAGCCGCAGTGGCGGGAGCTGCGCCCCAGGTTTCTCTGCAGAGCGGAGTAGGGCGACATGCTGACTCCACAGCGCTAGGAGCGCTCATCCGCGGATTCTTTGACAGATCCTTTGCCCAGCTCCAAGCTTCTCCCTGCCTCCCCCCTTTCCTGGGCTGCTTCAGGGTCCCCACAGCCTGGCGTTGCGTGGGGTGTTTGCCGGCGGCGGCGCGGCGGCGGCGGTGGCGGCGGCGGCAGCGGGCGCTCGCCACCCCCGCCCTCTCGCCGCGGGGCTGAGGCGCGCGCTCGCGCGGGGTCCGGGAGGACGCGCGCGCGGGGAGAGGGAGGTTGGGGAAGGGGGAGGTGAGAGGAGAGAGGGTGGAAAGGAGAGGAGAGGAGAGCCGAGAACCGGGAAGAGAGAGAGAGGTGGGGGGGCAGGGGGAGAGAGGGAGGGTGGGAGAGGCGGCGGAGGAGGAGAGCACGCGAACCCCACGAGCCGGAGCGGAGCGGAGCGGGGCTCGGGAGCCGCCGCCGGGGACCGCCAGCTCTGCAGCATGCATCTCGGGCTCCTCTGTGTCCTCGCCGCCGCCGTCTCGGGAGTCCAGGGCTGGGGCTACTGTGAGTGCTGGACTCGGAGGCAGGTGGGGTCGGGCGCGCGAGCCCAGCGCTCCTAGGGCGGGTCCCGCACCGCATTGCGGCGGGGTGGTCGCCGGCCCTTCCCAGCGGCGCACGCCGGCCCGCTCCCACCCTCTCGGGCCTCTCCCCCACGCTCCGCAATGCAGCTCCAAGGCCGCTGCGCACGCCCCGGTGCGGGGCCGGGCTCCGAGCAGAGGACAGCAGTCGTTCTGGGCAGGGCTTTGGGGCTGGGATGCAGACGCGGGCCAGCGCCTGGGCTCGAGGCTAGGCTTGGGCGTTAAGTGGGGTCAAAGATGTTGCCAGAGGACGGGGCTGGACTTTGGAGCTGGCCCGGGGGCTGGGGGTTGTGGCTGGGATCCAAGCTGACCGGGGCTAGGGCTGGCCGCGGGGAGCCGGTGACAGTGGGTGCTGGCCAGGACTGGGGTTCGGAGCAGGTTCTGAATCTGGGGTTGGTGCAGGTTTGGGGGGAGGGGCTGATGGGTGGGCTTAGGGCTAAGGCTGGGGCCGCCTTCGGTGCTGGAGATGCTGGGGTTTGAGGCTGTGTCTGGGGATCACGAATCGGGGCAGCTCCCGGGCTAGGAGAGAGGTGGCATTGGACCCCCAGGGCTGGCCCGAGGTGCCCCCGGGGAGCTGAAGGCAGTGTGCAGCTGCTGAGTGGACTAGGGCTGGGTCTGCCGCGGGGGCGGGCGCTGGCTGACGGGCCGCCTCCCCTCCCCAGACGGCTGCGACGAGGAGCTGGTGGGGCCCTTGTATGCGCGTTCGCTGGGTGCCTCCTCCTACTACGGGCTCTTCACGGCGCCGCGCTTCGCCCGGCTGCACGGTGAGCGCCGCCCCGCGGCCGGGTGGGGACCACCCCGGGGCTGGGGGAGAGGGCTCCGCTGGTGCAAGCCATGCCCCTTCTGTAGGCATAAGTGGATGGTCGCCTCGGATTGGGGATCCGAACCCATGGCTCCAGATAGACTTAATGAAGAAGCACCGGATCCGAGCCGTGGCCACCCAGGGCTCCTTCAATTCTTGGGACTGGGTCACACGCTACATGCTGCTCTACGGTGACCGCGTGGACAGCTGGACACCCTTCTACCAGCGGGGGCACAACGCGGTACTCCCGGCACCCGGGCGCGCGCACTTGGGGAGCTTCCTTGGCTCTGGGCCCAAGGCTGGGCGGTACTGAGGGTACTGGAGGTACTGAGGGCACAGGAGAGGGAGTAGCGCCTCCTTCCCAGAGGGACCCTCAGCTCTCCGTGTGTGCTGGACACTTTCAGCTCACAGGGTTTTTAAGACATCTTGAGTGAAATCTGGGAGGGCTTCCTGGAGGAGGCGGCATGTGCTCTGGGTTTTGGGGAAATAACAGGATGGTGGGAGAGCACACTCTAGGCTAGGGAAACCGAGACGGCTGAGTGTTTGCTTTCCGGAAGTCGGAGGGCCGTAGCCGAGGGCGGGGCCGTGGCCGCTACTCTCTCCCTCTCCCCCACCCCCGCAGACCTTCTTCGGGAACGTGAATGAGTCCGCGGTGGTGCGCCACGACCTGCACTACCACTTCACCGCGCGCTACATCCGCATCGTGCCGCTGGCCTGGAACCCACGCGGCAAGATCGGCCTGAGGCTCGGCCTCTATGGCTGCCCTTACAGTGAGCGGGGCGGAGGGCGCGGGCGGTGTGCGGGCGGCGGCGCGCGGGCTCCCGGCCCCCGGCCCACCGCTGCCCCTCCCGCAGAGGCCGACGTACTCTACTTCGACGGCGATGACGCCATCTCCTACCGCTTCCCACGGGGCGTCAGCCGGAGCCTGTGGGACGTGTTCGCGTTCAGTTTCAAGACGGAAGAGAAGGACGGGCTCCTGTTGCACGCCGAGGGCGCCCAGGGCGACTACGTGACGCTGGAGCTGCAGGGGGCGCACCTGCTGCTGCACATGAGCTTGGGTGAGCCGGGGTCTCCCCCCACTCCCCACGCGCGCCTTGCACCCACCCAACCACGCGCGCCTTGCACCCACCCAACCAATCCCTTCCCCTTCGCTGGTGGCACTGATGGCGTGTGCTGCTAGCAAAGCAGGGCTGGGCGGTGGCCTTGGCGGAGTGACCTTGGCCGAGGCGCTCCTCCAGCCTCAGTCCGCTTTCTGTCACCCCCAACACACACACACACGCACACACGCACACACGCACGGGATGGTTAGGAAGCTGAATCTCCTTGGCTTCTCATACGCCCCGCGTGATGGGAGAGAAGCAGCCTTGGGGAAACAGAGACTCAGGTCAAAGGGCGCCGGCCGGTGGTGACCACTGCATGCTCCCCTCCGGGTTGCCCACCTGCCCTGCCGGCCCAAGGCCTTAGGGCCCTGGCTCCCTGGGGTTCCGCTGCGGGAGGTCTCACTCGCCCCGCCCCCCACTCAGGCAGCAGCCCCATCCAGCCGCGGCCCGGCCACACCACGGTGAGCGCCGGCGGCGTCCTCAATGACCAGCACTGGCACTACGTGCGCCTGGACCGCTTTGGCCGCGATGCCAATCTCACGCTGGACGGCTACGTGCAGCGCTTCGTGCTCAACGGCGACTTCGAGATGCTGAACCTGGACACGGAGGTGAGCGAGGCACGCCACGCGGTGTGTGCGTGGGGCGGGGGGCGCAAGCCTCTCCCAGAGGTAAGAGCTCGCTCTCCGGGGCCTGCAGCTCCAAGCAGCTCTTGGCACACTTGGCTGCTCCCCCGCAAGCCGGCGGGTTCCCATGGATGTTAGTACGCAGACTCCCTCCCGGGCGCCACCCTGAGATGGATTCTGCAAATCCAGACTCGGGGACAGGGCAAGCTAGACGTGTCCCCCTAGGTCCTCGCACAGTTCCCATCCGCCGGGGGACTCCCAGACGGGGGCACTGACCTGCCCAGGACCCTGCGGCCGCTCCCAGGGGGAGTCCGGGCTGGGCCTCCAGCCTGGTCAGGCGTGCATGCGCGCGCGGGGGGGGGGTGCACGGCGCCTCACTGCGCCCCCCTCCCGCCCTGCAGATGTTCGTGGGGGGCCTGGTGGGCGCGGCGCAGAAGAACCTGGCCTACCGGCACAACTTCCGCGGCTGCATGGAGAACGTCATCTTCAACCGCGTCAACATCGCCGACCTGGCTGTGCGGCGCCACTCGCGCATCACCTTCGAGGCCAGTGCGCTGGGGGGTCGGGGCGGGGGGGACGGAACCCCAAAGCAGTGGCCAGGCACCCCCCCCACACACACACACCAGTTACGAGGCTGTGGTAGGGTCCTGTCACCTCCCTGGCTAGCAGCCGAGGACGCGGGGGGCGGGGGGCAGGGCGCGCCATGCCGCTGAGCGAAGGCCCGAGGAAGCTCTTGGGCTGGGGGTGCTTCTTAAGCCACCCCCACTCCCACCCCAGCCACCTGCGCCACCTGTCGGGACCGGAAGAGAAGGAAGTGCAGACGGCGCAGAGGAGCGATGGCCTGGACGTGGTTGGAGGTCCCAGCCTCGCCAACACCGGGGTCGTCGCGCCACGTGGAAGTGGAGGCCCCGGCCAAGGCGGGCTCAGGGGTGCTGACGCGGCCCCGTCTCGCCCCTAGGGTAAGGTGGCCTTCCGGTGCCTGGACCCCGTGCCGCACCCCATCAACTTCGGAGGCCCCCACAACTTCGTGCAGGTGCCCGGGTTCCCGCGCCGCGGCCGCCTCGCTGTCTCCTTCCGCTTTCGCACGTGGGACCTCACGGGGCTGCTGCTTTTCTCCCGCCTGGGGGACGGGCTGGGCCACGTGGAGCTGATGCTCAGCGAAGGGCAGGTCAACGTGTCGGTGGCGCAGCCTGGCCGCAAGAAGCTGCAGTTCGCTGCCGGTGAGGGGCGGCAGGCGGGGACGCTGCAGGCCGGGTGGGGGCGGGACAGGCGGGGCTGGAGGTGCCCCCCCACCCCGTGCTGGGACCGGGGCGTGGCTGGAGGCAGAGCTGGGGGGCGGGGAGCCCCTGCTGGGGTTGTGAAGAGGGAGGAGCTCGGAGATGGCACCATCCGGTGTGAGCCGCCGCCGCGCGCTGCGGCTTACCCCGTCCTTGCTCGTGCAGGGTACCGCCTGAATGACGGCTTTTGGCACGAGGTGAACTTTGTGGCACAGGAGAACCACGCAGTCATCAGCATCGATGACGTGGAGGGTGCGGAGGTCAGGGTCTCCTACCCACTGCTGATCCGCACGGGGACCTCCTACTTTTTTGGGGGTGAGTGCGGACCCACTTGGGCCGGGGGGGGGGGCCCATGCTTGTCCACCTGGGTGGGGCCACCG